GTCTTAAACAAGAATAAAAATTGTGAGTGAGTGAGTGAGTTGTGTTTAACGTCGCTTTTAACAGTATTGCAGTTATATCACGGCGTGTCAGCTTAATGTCGGAGGAAAGCCCGAAGTGATGCAGGTCTAAGACGTTTACCACTTCGATGAAACCCATGAGCACGGGTATGGTGCTGACAAACCTAGAAACATAACCGGGGCGAACCGAGATTCGAACCCACGATCATAGGTTTCTGGCTTGCCCAAGGGACGCAACTCTGCATAGCGAATCGCCGCGCCTTGATTGGCTGATACGCGAACTTTGATATTTCTAGTGCTACGTTTGATTAACCTGTTTGATCACAAACAAGAATATCTATTTTCAATGTAGGTTTTTTCACTGAACCAAAACTGAACTCCGGACATGATGACAGGTGATAACTGCTATCAGTTGATCCATCCGGTAGTTGATCCATCCATGAGATCCATCCGGTAGTTGATCCATCCATGAGATCCATCCGTCAGTTGATCCATCCATGAGATCCATCCGTCAGTTGGTCCATCCATGAGATTCATCCGTCAGTTGGTCCATCCATGAGATCCATCCGTCAGTTGATCCATCCATGAGATCCATCCGTCAGTTGGTCCATCCATGAGATCCATCCGTCAGTTGGTCCATCCATGAGATCCATCCGTCAGTTGATCCATCCATGAGATCCATCCGTCAGTTGATCCATCCATGAGATCCATCCATCAGTTGATCCATCCATGAGATCAATCCGTCAGTTGGTCCATCCATGAGATCCATCCGTCAGTTGGTCCATCCATGAGATCCATCCGTCAGTTGATCCATCCATGAGATCCATCCGTCAGTTAGTCCATCCATGAGATCCATCCGTCAGTTGATCCATCCATGAGATCCATCCGTCAGTTGGTCCATCCATGAGATCCATCCGTCAGTTGATCCATCCATGAGATCCATCCGTCAGTTGGTCCATCAATGAGATCCATCCGTCAGTTGGTCCATCCATGAGATCCATCTGTCAGTTGGTCCATCCCTAAAATCCATCCGTCAGTTGGTCCATCCATGAGATCCATCCGTCAGTTGATCCATCCTTAAAATCCATCCGTCAGTTGGTCCATCCATGAGATCCATCCGTCAGTTGATCCATCCATGAATCCATCCGTCAGATGATCTATCCATGAATCCATCCGTCAGTTGATCCATCCATGAGATCCATCCGTCAGTTGATCCATCCATGAGATCAATCCGTCAGTTGATCCATCCATGAGATCAATCCGTCAGTTGATCCATCCCTAAAATCCATCCGTCAGTTGGTCCATACGTGAGATCCACCCGTCAGTTGATCCATCCCTAAAATCCACCCGTCAGTTGATCCATCCATGAGATCCGCCCGTCAGATGATCCATCCATGATATCCATCCGTCAATTGGTCCATCCATGAGATCCATCCGTCAGTTGATCCATCCCTTAAATCCATCCGTCAGTTGGTCCATACGTGAGATCCATCCGTCAGATGATCCATCCATGAATCCATCCGTCAGTTGATTCACCCACGAGATCCATCCGTCAGTTGATCCATCCATGAGATCCATCCGTCAGTTGATCCATCCCTAAAATCCATCCGTCAGTTGGTCCATACGTAAGATCAATCCGTCAGTTGATCCATCCCTTAAATCCAACCGTCAGTTGATCCATCCATGAGATCCATCCGTCAGTTAATCCATCCATGAGATCCATCCGTCAGTTGATCCATCCATAAGATCCATCCGTCAGTTGATCCATCCATGAGATCCATCCGTCAGTTGATCCATCCATGAATCCATCCGTCAGATGATCCATTCATGAGATCCATCCGTCAGTTGATCCATCCATGAGATCAATCCGTCAGTTGATCCATCCATGAGATCCATCCGTCAGTTGATCCATCCATGAGAACCATCCGTCAGTTGATCCATCCATGAGATCCATCCGTCAGTTGGTTCATCCGTGAGATCCATCCGTCAGATGATCCATCCATGAGATCCATCCGTCAGTTGGTCTATCAATGAGATCCATCCGTCAGTTGATCCATCCCTAAAATCCATCCGTCAGTTGATCCATCCATGAGATCCATCCGTCAGTTGATCCATCCCTAAAATCCATCCGTCAGTTGGTCCATCCCTAAAATCCATCCGTCAGTTGTTCCATACATGAGATCCATCCGTCAGTTGATCCATCCCTAAAATCCATCCGTCAGTTGATCCATCCATGAGATCCATCCGTCAGTTGATCCATCCCTAAAATCCATCCGTCAGTTGGTCCATACGTGAGATCCATCCGTCAGTTGATCCATCCCTAAAATCCATCCGTCAGTTGATCCATCCCTAAAATCCATCCGTGATTTCATCCTCCAATTCTTTCGTAGTTAACCCTCCCATGAGACCAGATGTATTTACTGAATACTAACGTTTAAACTAGTCAAAGGACATTTCTCTCTGTCATTTTACTAATAATAACTATATATCTACTTACATTAAACATTACACATGTCCACATTTTAACTTCATCATGTTCCAAGTCCGAGGTTTGCTTTTTCTTTGTAATTGACCGACTTTTTTCATGCTTCATCATGTTCAAGGATACATTCTTGACATTTTCCTTCACTTAATCATCCAATATTAGTGAATAATAACTCATTTGTTATACATGTTGAGACAACTATAACAAATTCTCAGATCCGAGATGTAATGTCATAACATCAAGATTAATGCTACTATTAATCTATTTCTACCTAACCTATAAATGCGTGTGCAATAGACAACCCTACAATCATAGAATCACAAGGTTTTGAATTCTATATCTTTCAAGTTGTTCGAAATATTTACTGGTGAGTAAATTTTGCTGTTGTAGTTTTAACATACCTTAATAATCATTAATTCTATGTACATATAAGATAAGACATGTATGTAATCTGAACGTGGGTATCTTCAAATTAACATTCAATTATATAGTGTTCGTTATAATTAGTACAGAAAATCCCCCATGATGTCAGACGTTCTATGATGAATAAATGAATTAAATGAATTCAACTTAATTCAACTATATTAGTAGCCTGCGCTACTTCTATATTTCATAATCTCACAATTCATTATTTCTGAACGTTTAAATTATACGCTGATCGCGACAATCTATGGAGATTTTATAAATGATTCTGGAATTAATTTTTTATCCTTTCCTTTCCACATTAAGGAATGGATCAATTAAATGTGTGATTAATGAGATTTGCTACTAATAAAGTTTATATTAAAGGATTCACGGATCTAACGGATGGATTTTAGGGATGGGTCAATTAAAGGTTGGATTAACGGATGGACTCGACTGATAGGAGCTATTTCCTACTATGATGCATTGGCTTAGATACATAAATGTATACTGAGTCAAATTAAAAACTTCACATTTTTAAAAGTAATATGATATACAACGGACAAATGTATCAGAGAAGGTAATTTTTAATCATTAATGTCCAAAGAAGGATTTTAATTAACGGTGGTAACCATAATTTGTTCCAAGCACCTACGGTATTCGGTAATAACTTCAACAGTTTAAATCATAAGTTCCAAGCACGAGAATCTGATGGCACACAAGTTCAGTAGCGTGTATGGCCACCATGTGCGTTGACAACTGCCACACAACGCCTCCGCATGGACCTTGTGATGCTTGTGAACACATGATTGGGAAGACGACGCCATTGTTGCTGCAAAATGGTGCCAAGATCGTGCAAATTCTGTGGTTGGTTCTGGCGAGTGCGCAGACTTCTGCCAAGAGCATCCCAGACGTGTTCGATGGGATTGAGGTCGGGAGACCTTGACGGCCAATCCATGACGTTGACTCCCGCCTTCTGAAGGAAATTCCTTGTCAAAATTGCTGTGTGGGGTGTGGCTTTGTCGTGTTGGAAGATCAAACCGGGTCCATGTGCTGCCATAAAAGGCAGAAGTTCTGGTGCCAGTACCTGGTCGCGGTAAGCAGCAGCGTTGAGGTTGCCACGGTTGACAAGAAGCCTGGAACGTGCATTGCCACAGAAAGCACCCCACACCATGACACTTCCGCCTCGAAATCTGTCAACTTCCTGTACACAACACTGGGCGTAACGTTCATGACGGCGCCTCCACATCCTCGCCCTACCATCAGCAAATCGAAGATTAAATCGGGATTCATCACTGAAGACGACTTGATTCCAATTCCTCTGAGTCCATCGTAAGTGTCGCTGTGCCCACAATTGACATTGACGTCTGTGTAATTGAGTCAGAATCGGCCCGCAGTATGGCCGTCGTGCTTGGAGGTGAGCAGTTCTCAGACGGTTTCGAACAGTTTGCGCACTCAGTCTACCCCTAAACAGTTCATTTCTGGTTGATGTAGCCGTCAAAAATCGGTTACGGAGGTGACGTAAGACAATCTGACGATCCTCTGCATGTGACGTCACACGTGGTCGACCTGGCCGAGGGCGATCAGCGGTGGTTCCCGTTTGCTGTAGACGCGTCTGTAAATCATAAACAGTCCGTCGACTACAACCCGTCGTCCTTGCGACTTCAGCTACGGACGTTCCCGTCTTCAACATGCCGATGGCACGTTCACGTTGCACGTTCGAAACGGGGCATGACAAATGGCCGTAAAGACTTTTGTTTTCTTGTGTTTTTCTTTGTTTTGTTAATGACTGCTAACAAGTATGGCTGAAATCACGTGCGGTATTATGGCCACGTGACCAGTTGCACGTGAAAAACCACTTTTGCCACTATAGTGCTGTGCACATGATTTTGATCGATTCACCTGCACAAACACGGGTGTTATCTGAAGACAATACGTGACCATTACTGTTTAAATACACAATAAGGGCCCACAATGATAACTGGTCAAAATGTTAAAATTTTAGGATTGTGAAGTTTCTAATTTGGTTCAGTATATTATAAGTTACATATGTAGCAGTTTAGTGAATGTCTTTTACGAGTCAACAAACACATACTACGGGGTTGAGGTCTTTATTGCGATGCGATGAGTGTGATCAAGGATCTAGATAGCATACACCCGGAAACACATAATTACACAATAAATAATAAGTGAAACATTACCATTACTGCTAGATACACAGCATAGGCTTATTACAAGTAAGTATTTACATATATCAGTCATCCATCAAACACTAGATAGACTGAACCTTAAACGATTATACTAGAACATATACAGTATAATATACATGATCCACAATACCGACATTCAAGGGAGATAACTCCTTGACTTTCATTTGACTATAATATATACACAATATATATACATAACGCTTACACATTCTGCATAAACATATACAATACTTTAAGACAGAAATTAATGATATGATCTTACATTAAATGTTGTCATCACAATAAGATTACATCGTAAGTCTTAGACAAATATAAATAACACAATGCATACCCTGTGGGTGATACAAGGGTGTGGATCCCAACTTCCACACGTATGGCAACACCATAGATGATCTGAATAAACAGTACATAGACTAAAACACTATTTAACATTAAATATATTGAACAAAGTAAAACACACATTTCATTTACAATGATTTGCATGTATCACATCTGAATCTGTACATTACAAAGCTTTTTAAAACACTCTTGAAGTAAAACACTTTCACACATATTTCATTGAAGTGATAGAATACATTTAAGTGATAAAGTATGGGTGTTTAGCTTATCTTATGCAGATTTAAATATTTAGACATGATCAACATTTATGTTAGATTACATGCATTTAGTTTACTTCATATAACACTTTAAACATACTGTATTATTTCAATACAACACAAGATAGAGATTATAACCATTTAACTCACCTGATTTAATATTATCTCTTTATGCTTTGCTGGTCTTAGCAGTTCTGTCAGTTCATGTGCTGAGAGAGTATGCAGTGTAATCAAAGCATGCAGTTTAACAATAGGTGTTAGCTTGGCCAATCAGCAAATGAAGCTTCTGGCCATGGGACAGTTAGTAGGTAAGACAGGTCAGGTACACTTTGTTAAAGCTGACTGAAACTGACAACTAGTTCTATGTAATAAATATATGTAAAAACCTAAAATGAAATTAAAACAAATATATACAAAAACTACATCGGCCACACATACACGCTTCATATAGAATGTAACGTTTTTAGATTGGAAAGAACGCCTGCTGTTAGAAAAAATAAATTAGCGATTCAATATGAGATACAGTATTTCATAGTCAGTGCTTATCCGCATTCATGTAAAAATAATATTGAACTATGTGTGCGCAGATATCATATCACAAGTAAATATAACACATTTTTGTCAAAAACTACCACAAAAGTCACAACACAAGGACGTTTTCAAGGGCCCTTGCTCCCAAATGCTTCGTAGGCCTTCTTAACGTGGTTGTTCGACTCCTGTTCGTCTAACTGTTTTCGTAATGTGTCAATCTGCTTTTGCATTGTCCCATAGTGATTTACGAATCCAAACGAACGAGCGTAGATGCAGAAGAAGATTGTTCCTATTAGGCAGGTGATGAAGAGAATTACTCCCAGACTGATAACGATAATACCAAGGACGACATTGACAGTTGTGTACGGCTCACATTTGATAGCGGCGTCCGGATTGGTTGAAATACATTCACCTATTGCCCAACCAGTGACCGAGAATTGCAGCGAGGCAAAGGTGAGGCACAGGATGTTCATGACATAGTTCACCAAAACCTGAAAAAGAAGTTTTCACAAGTGGTGCTTTTAATTATTAAAAGTATTCATATACGACTATAGATTTCAAATAATGTTGAGATGATATTATTTTCAATATAATTTCCTTGATTTATACAATCATAGAGTTTATAAAGGGCAAACCATATCGTGACCTTGACCTTGACCACTAAGGAGGGAGCGCTGTTCCCTTTTAAGAACACCTGGTGTCACGCATGCAGTAATCGAAAGTGTTCGTGGCTGTCACAGTCGTCAAAGGCGCCGCAATTCGCTGTGCAGAGTTTCGTCCTTCGGACACGCCAGAAACCTATGATCGTGGGTTCGAATCCCGGTTCGCCCAAATTATGTTTCTAGTTTTGTCAGCACCATACCCGTTCTCTTGGATTTCACCTAAGTAGTAAACGTCTGAGACCTGCATCACTTTCGGCTTACCTCCCACATTAAGCTGACACGCCCTGATATAGCTGGAATACTGTTAAAACTAGGCATTGCTTGGGGGAGCTACAATGCACTGTAGCTCACCTAAATTGCGAACAGATTTGATGCCGCTTCAATCTTATGGTGACAAACATCTATAGTGAGATTGGTTCAATATATAACAGCATTAAAAAGAGGTTAAGTTCAAATACTACTACTACTACTACTACTACTTCTACTACTACTACTACTACTACTACTACTACTACTAATAATAATAATAATAATAATAATAATTATAGTAATAATAAAGACTTGGAACGAACTTTTATTTAATCTTCTTGTGGTTCTTAAGAATAAATAATTCTAAATCCTCCTGTAAATATTTTGTGAAATCTTTTAACAAAACACGTTACACAGATAATGCTTTGTCGTCATAACAAGGATCATGGATGCCTAATTTCACCTTCATCGGTCAAGCAGTTTCAGAGGAGAAACCCACAAGCACAATCATGCCTGTTATACAATTACTGTCTATCAAAGCCCACAATTGGCGAGAATCGGCAGCTGAACCAATCACTTTGACTGGTGTCACTAGCCGAAATGACTGCTTTTGGGTTGTTTGCATTGTCCAATTGCACCAAAAAGAATACACTGACCATCAGTAAATCAGAATCTCCCTGCACTGAACTTACGTGTCTTTTGACCCGACGTTCATCCTTCTCCAAGACGGCATTGGTGGTTGCTTTCAGGCCGGATATACTTCCAACGAGGACCTTGGGAAATGACAAAATATTGAAGATGACTTGAGCGACCAACTGCCCTCCTCTAAGTATGGCATCGTACCACTATACACAGTTGCCGTTTACCGACCGCCTCGAATCACGAAAGCTTAAACAGTACTGTTTCTTCTGAAAATCTGTTTTTTGTAATTCAGTCCTTAGTATCTCACCTTTTTGTAGTGGAAATATCAAAGAACTGTTTGAAAAAAAGGTTTGCTGTATACACAGTTTCATTTACAAGTGTGTCAAGTATGCTCTTTTAGTTTGAGCGAGCGTTGGGGTAGCCAGGTGGTTAAAGCGTTCGCTAATCACGCCGAAGACCCGGGTTTGATTGCCCACATGAGTACAATGTGTGAAGCCCATTGGTGTCCCCCGCCGTGATATTGCTGGAATATTGCTTAAAGCGGCGTAAAACCATACTCACTCATCCACTCTTTTAGTTTGTTCCAATATTTTCGGTTTTTGTATAATCTTGTAAGGGTGTTATTTGATTCTAGGTATTCGAATGGTGTGACAGAAATACTTACTAATATCCCTGTGATGAGAGCATATCCATTTATTTGAGGGTAGTTTGGATTTGTCAAAGCGACACCCATTGAAGCAATGCCGACGACAATGCAGGGCACGCTTGTGACCATCTGAACCAACGATAACATCCGCAGATGATGCGCGCCCTTGTCACGGAAGTCCTTGCCGTCGGGCGTATTACACGCTGAAGCATAAAATGAGAGATGAATATAAGCAACCATGCATTCCATATGATTGCTGAGTTATATTTACGCTCCACTTCTTTTTGGGATGTCTTGTTTCAACCATTTCTCTTTTCTTAACTTACTGATTTAAACATTTCTTACGTTGCCATGTTAAGATTGTGTATTAAATAAATGCATTCTAACAAATTGAGTCCCACCCTGAATATCGACTCCAGATGTCATAACAAAGCCACTGTTGTCTGATATTATTGTCTAATGTGTCATTGTGGTCAAAATGAACGCACCAGCAAATATATTGATTCCGAGGGAAATGTAACCTACTTACTGTCAGCTGTACGGTGGTATTAGCGTGGGGCATGTAAGCCTCTCATTGTCAGCCGTACGGTGGTATTAGCGTGGGGCATGTAAGCCTCTCATTGTCAGCTGTACGGTGGTATTAGCGTGGGGCATGTAAGCCTCTCATTGTCAGCCGTACGGTGGTATTAGCGTGGGGCATGTAAGCCTCTCATTGTCAGCCGTACGGTGGTATTAGCGTGGGGCATGTAAGCCTCTCATTGTCAGCCGTACGGTGGTATTAGCGTGGGGCATGTAAGCCTCTCATTGTCAGCCGTACGGTGGTATTAGCGTGGGGCATGTAAGCCTCTCATTGTCAGCCGTACGGTGGTATTAGCGTGGGGCATGTAAGCCTCTCATTGTCAGCCGTACGGTGGTATTAGCGTGGGGCATGTAAGCCTCTCATTGTCAGCCGTACGGTGGTATTAGCGTGGGGCATGTAAGCCTCTCATTGTCAGCCGTACGGTGGTATTAGCGTGGGGCATGTAAGCCTCTCATTGTCAGCCGTACGGTGGTATTAGCGTGGGGCATGTAAGCCTCTCATTGTCAGCAGTACGAAGGTACTAGCGTGGGGCATGTAAGCCTCTCATTGTCAGCCGTACGGTGGTATTAGCGTGGGGCATGTAAGCCTCTCATTGTCAGCCGTACGGTGGTATTAGCGTGGGGCATGTAAGCCTCTCATTGTCAGCCGTACGGTGGTATTAGCGTGGGGCATGTAAGCCTCTCATTGTCAGCCGTACGGTGGTATTAGCGTGGGGCATGTAAGCCTCTCATTGTCAGCCGTACGGTGGTATTAGCGTGGGGCATGTAAGCCTCTCATTGTCAGCCGTACGGTGGTATTAGCGTGGGGCATGTAAGCCTCTCATTGTCAGCCGTACGGTGGTATTAGCGTGGGGCATGTACGCCTCTCATTGTCAGCCGTACGGTGGTATTAGCGTGGGGCATGTAAGCCTCTCATTGTCAGCCGTACGGTGGTATTAGCGTGGGGCATGTAAGCCTCTCACTGTCAGCAGTACGAAGGTACTAGCGTGGGGCATGTAAGCCTTTCACTGTCAGCAGTACGAAGGTACTAGCGTGGGGCATGTAAGCCTCTCATTGTCAGCCGTACGGTGGTATTAGCGTGGGGCATGTAAGCCATTCACTGTTAGATGTATTGTGGTATTAGAGTGGGACATGTAAGCCTTTCACTGTCAGCTGTACGAAGGTACTAGCGTTAGGCATGTAATCCTTTCACTGTCAGCCGTACCATGGTACTAGCGTAGGGCATGTAAGCCTTTCACTGTCAGGGGTACGAAGGTATTAGTGTGGGGCATGTAAGCCTTTCACTGTCAGGGGTACGAAGGTATTAGTGTGGGGCATGTAAGCCTTTCACTGTCAGGGGTACGAAGGTATTAGTGTGGGGCATGTAAGCCTTTCACTGTCAGACATACGAAGGTACTTTAGTGCGACATGTAAGCCTTTCACTGTCAGCCGTACTAGCGTGGAGCATGTCAGCCTCTCACTGTCTAACGTACGGAGATTCCAGCGCGGGGCATGTAAGCCTTTCACTGTCAGACATATTCATAAAACGCTGCATAAAATGAGTCATGTTACAATACACAAACATATTGAGCGACTTCCAGCAGACATCATATACTGGATGATCTCACCAGTGCGAGTGCAATGACGGGTTTCTGTATCTATTGTATGTACATCTGTCTTTGAGAAATCCCTCATTTCACTGTGCCGAGTTGCGTCTCTTGGGCAGACCAGAATCCTATGATGGTCGGTTCAAATCTTAGATTCGCCGAGGGGCGGTCGGGTAGCCTAGTGGTTAAAGCGTTCGCTCGTCACGCCGAAGACCCGGGTTCGATTCCCGACATGGGTACAATGTGTGAAGCCCATTTCTAGTGTCCCCCGCCGTGATATTGCTTGAATATTGCTAAAAGCGGCGTAAAACCATACTCACTCACTCACTTAGATTCGCCGTGAATAGTTCTCTTCCCAATTTAAGCTAACGTGCAGTCAAATCGGCCCTAAACCAGTGTCAATCCCTTACCAAACATCAGGGTATTTGCAGGGCGCTTCAAACACTACAGATCCACATCCGCGAAGAAGGTCCAGTTTGTTGTTACACCAAAGTTAAAAAATTTCAGAATAGTTGCCTTTTTCTGAAAACAAATGCAGCCATATTTCTCTCTTGATCGAATATTTAACCCGACATTTATACAAGCAGGAAAAAACCCGTCATATCATATAACAGTACACTGCAAATAATTATTTATATTTATGATATAGGTGGAGTACTTATAATTATATTTTGTGAAAATGTATGAGATTCAGATTCCGGTGAAGGCCCAAATATGTTTTATAGGTAATTTGCCTATGCACGTTTGGGCACGTGCGCAATGTCACAGGCTGTTGCCACGACGTTCAAGATATTCCGAATACCTAGTGGGATTATTGATAAATGAATTACAGTTAGAGTTTCGATATATATATGTTTCTGCTCGTAAACCTGTAAAATTCAACACAAGGGGAAGAGGTCAAACACAGGACAGCGAGAACGTCTACATCGTTATCAGATCTATGTAACATGGGTGTGACAAGTCTGAAGCTGCAGTGCTAAAGCAGGGATCTGCTTTATTGTCGATCTTTTTCGGGTAAGTATAAATAAATGACTTGTAATAACATGCATCAAAACATTTATCTCATTTCTGCTTTCGTTTGATCGGGATCGTTATATTATGTCAGTGAAAATATGACATGCCAGGTGTGAGACATACTTTGGTCTACATTCACACAGACTGTGAAGCTAAATCTCGAATTCTGACAGGTGGAATAAATGAGTTGGGTGAACAGTTATGTCAGTGCGATGCTTGGTATATACTGGTATATACTGGTACTTACTGGTGCCCACGTAGCATACACAACCGGTGTCACCCATGGTCAGTTATTGAAGTGGTCAGTTACACAGGGATGCAGAACTCAACACTTATAGCTGTGAACTGCGGACACAAGGCCGTGTCACTGGCGATATCACGAGGTCAGATAACAATGTTTACACACAAGGCGGTGACGCAGACCTACATATACAATCGCGTGACCTCAGCTGACTGATATTCTCTGATCAAGATAAACAGTCTTTATCAGTTGCAGCAGGAGCACGCGGGGTACATGGGTACCCGTTAGGTTTTATGACACGAGCCGATTGGTTGGTTGGTTGGTTGGTTGGTTGGCATACGCCACACCCAGCAATATTCTAGCTACATGACGGCGGTCTGTAAATATTCGGGTCTGGACGAGACTATCCAGTGATTGATATTATGAGCACCAATCCACGCAATTGGGATCGATGACATGCTTCAACCAAGTCAGCTAGCCTGACCACCCGATCCCGTGCCGTTGGCCAAACATGTGGATTCGTGAAGATTCCGGGGTAGAATAGGTCTTCAGCAACGACTATGCTTGTCTATGCTTGTCGTAAAAGGCGACTAACGGGGTCAGGCACGCTGACTTGGTTGATGCATGTCATCGATCCCAATTGCGTGGATCGATGCTCATGATGTCAATCACTGGATTGTCTGGTCCAGACTCGATTATTTACAGACTGCCGTCATATAGCTGTAATATTGCTGAGTGCGGCATAAAACAACAAACCAACAACAAAAAAACTTGTGACGAACCTGCAGGCATTAAATATAGTCATGCAGTATATTGTAGTGTCAGTTGTGAAGGATACTAAGTGGGTGAGTTAAACTGTCACATCGTATCTGCGAAAACATAATGCACGTTATAAGGGTAGATATGTAATAAATTGTATAATGTGGTTTGCAAATATATGGACTTCAACAGAACTTCACACGTTTGATAAGTTGATAGCATGGATCTATTCTAGGTCAACGTGGATTGATTTATTGAATAGAAACAGCATATATGTGTATGTGTCAACGAATTGACTTTGTTTTAAACTGGAGCGATTATTCCACCAATTGATGGATCCATTCTGTCTATGCTTTTCCAGGCCTCTTGCGTTTAACCAACGTAACATGATATGATTAGAACAGTCGCCTCTGTGCAGCCCGGCTTCTGCCGGGAACGGCACTGGCGTGGATAAACTTATCGCTCGATTCGCCATATAAAATAGTCCTGTGTTGTCGACGCTGCGACCGAGTATGGCTCATCTACAATTCTATGGTCTGGTGTGTTCATTGGTGACAACTCTGACATATGGACAAGAAAATATTGTTGCTGTGGTTAACCAAGTTAACATGTTGCAGATGGAAATAAACCACATGAAAGTGGAAGTTCCGAGGTTTGAGGCACGAGTGCTGAACAAGATGGCGATGTTGGAGGTGATGCAACGAGCTGACCTGGTGGAGAAGATTGTGCCGTCCTATATACAGGCTCAGGTCCAACAGTCTTTGAAGCAGATTCTCCATGCGCAGTCTTTTGATGCAATGGTACGAAACTACATGTATTCACAAGTGAAGCATCTTAAACGAGCTTATCAGGCGATGAAGAGACAGGTGAAAAGTATCAACAGGCGTGTAAGACAAAAGACATTAACGAAGACCATATCAGGTGTTGACGCACAATCTAAACGTCTGAAATCTGAAAAGACAACATACATGCTCAATATGTCTGATAGTCATGGAGTGATGAACAGTTCTAAGCACACTGATACAGGGAAGCTGGTGAGACATCTACAGACAATGATGACTAATACATGGAGCCGCGTGAGACACGTGGGTCAAGAAGTGAAGTCCTTGGGTGGACAGGTGTCTCTGCTGAACCAAACATGTGCGAAGGCGTCACTGGAAAGACGAGCTATCCAATCGACTGTGGATGCACTAGAAGCGAAGGCGAATCAAAATCGGGAACAGATCGGGCATATAAAGAAACAGGGTACGATGCTGAAGACCTGTGTGTCCCAGATGAACAAGCGTCATGTCGGGGAGACAGGGGGTGTCACCGCGGGTGACAACCCCAATGAGACCAAGGTGAACCGAAGGCGTCAGGGTTCTACTCCCTTGGTGATCCATTGGGCGTCGACAGCTGCTACGACACCAGCTACACCAGCAACTACGTCAACAGCCATCGTGCAATCTCCGGAGCGCTATGTGGAGGTCATGACGAGGATATTAGTTGTGAAGCTTGAGTCTTTTACCGTTCAAAACCCCCATCTTCTAGACGTCCACAACAACGCTATGCAGGTATACGGCTATATGCGTACATCACACATTTCGTCTGTAACGTATGATTCCAGAACAAGGAGCCTGATTTTTTGCAGACATTTACCAAAGGTCATACTGTCGTCTAATTTGGATTCCTTCGATGTTTCACGACTACGTAAAGGTGTTATCTCCCTTGGAATGGCTGTAGACGTTGACAGACGATTGATATTCCTCTCGACCTTCAAGCCAAGACGCACAATCAGTCGGATGTCAACGCGCGGAAAACACTTCCGGGGCATTGTAGACCTTACAAGGCATGGGTCATTTAACCCATATAACATAGCTATTGATACCAGAAACAAGATGATATATTTCTGCAAAAATAGTGATGGCTTTTGGTCAGTGGGTTATGATGGTAAGAATCTTCGCAGGATACAGCAGACGGAGAGCTCAAGCGCCGTTACCATTGATAGTCAACATAATATTGTGTACTTCAGTGATGCTGAGAGGGTGATGAAGTTATCACTATCAACAAATACAGTAACGGAAATCCTGGGACTGAGTGGCAGGATATGGAGTATGTGTCACGTGAACAACAGTTTGTATGTTGCTGGATATGTTGGGGGATTTATTGATGTCATATACTTAGGAAACAATGTACACTTTAATCTGCAAACGATGAAACACTCCAAGAATATTGTGTTGCCGTTACCCTGACTACTGAGCCTACGTAAGATCCGTTCAGACGGGGAAAAAATGTCTTTTGTTGTTGTTGTTGTTTAACGCCGCACTCAGCAATATTCAAGCTATGTGACGGTGGTCTGTAAATATTCGAGACCAGGCAATCCAGTGACTAACATCGTGAGCATCGATCCACGCAATTGATCGATGACATGCATCAACCAAGTCAGCGAGCCTGATCACCCGATCCCGTTAATCGCCTCTTACGACAAGCATAGTCGCCTTTTACGGGAAGCACGGGTTGCTGAAGACCTATTCTACCCCGGATCTTCACGGGTGGGAAAGAAGTTCTGGATTTCCATAATTCATCAAATGAGTAGTGGAACTCAGTTTGAAATAGCATTGTGCGTGAGAACATTGAGGAAATATTTCACATATCTCTCTATACATAACAATATCCCAGGGCGATTTCGCCATCATGCATCTACCTGTTCTTGATTAAGAACGGTATGTGTAAGTGAACCGCGTGTCCACGAGTCCTTCCGTGTGGCATCTGTTGGGATAAGAGGGAACCTGGAGGAGGAACCTGCCAAACGTATGTCAATATGTTGTCTATATATGTTTGATATACACGATACACGAGGACGATATTATATCTGTGTTACAGACTCTCATGCATTTTTCAAAGTTTACAATGGCGTGTCAGCTTGTTGTGAGAGGATATCACGGATCATAATCGGGACGAATCGAGGACTCGAACCCATGATCAGCGGATCCTCGCACTACCAAAGGACGCAACTCTGCGCAACAGGTTGTCGCGTCTTCATAACTTATATCACCAGTGGGAAAAAGTAGCAATGATGTTTTCTTGTCTTCGTGTTTAAATTGTAAGAAATGAATTAAACATATATAACAGGCTCCAGAAGATCCAAAACAAGGTGGCAAGGCTTTGACAAAGTCACGTGTAAGAACACAACTATCCCCAGTGTTACGTTCACTTCATAGGATGCCAATTGCAAAAAGGGTTGACTTCGAGTTGCTAAGTCTTACGTGAAAGTATGTAAATAAAACAGCTCCATCTTATCTCAACGACCTTGTCAATGTGTACCAGCCATCTAGGAACTTGCGGTCTGGTGACAGACTTCAGCTGGTCACTGTAGCAGAAAATTGGAATGCTCTTCCAATTGAACGGTCCCATCATTTGATATTTTCAAGTCAAGACTTAGCCATTTAACTCTAGTTTACATATGTATGTGTTTTGTCAGCGCTTTGACCATGTTTTGTTGCGTGGAGGTTAGCACATTATAAGAATTCTTATTCTTCATCTTCCTCTGCTTTTTATTATAACACCAAAGCCACTTGTGTATTAATATTATTTGGGTGGATGGAATTAGACGTTTGAAATCCCCGGTTTAAATTGTGAAATATTGCGGAAACATGTTTTCTGTAACAATGACGGTGTAGGTTAAACACTTTAGGATCCACAAATTGATATGACGGGGCTAAATTACTATAAAACGTAAAACCCGGTTAACTCGAAGTCCATGGACTCTACATATCTTTTAAGACGACGAAATGTCCTAGAACAATCCTCAGCTCATCTCCTCTTTTCTGAGGACTTAACTAGAGTAATGGAAGTCCAATCTATTTCCGAATATGAGATAACGAACACTATCGCATGCAGTTTCTGACTACAAAATGCAGTCTGTTTAGGGCAGTAAAATTGTCCGAGAGAGGATTTTGATATACTGAAACGCAAAAGAAACGTCACCCAAAGTAACATTGCATGAAAAGTTGTGATTAAAATTTCTGGGTAATGTTTGTCAAAGTTTCTAAAATTTAACATTACATTGTCCGGAAAAATAAAATTTGATGATAAAAAACAAAGCAGATGACAATAAAACCGATCGTCCAAACGCATCACGGCAGTGGGCATGGTAAGCCGATACTCGTGAGTTCCGTGCAAATTGAAATGCACATGCGTTCCCCCATTTCTTGCCCTATAAAAATCCAAACAGATGTGATAACATTCATTCGTTATTGAATTGCTACCACATGCCAAGATTGACAAGAAATCAGCAATACCAAGCCCTTGGACGATTGCAAGCTGGACAAACCGCCCGGCAAGGAGCCAATGCATTCCAGGTCCAGGTAAGGACCATATACAGGCTCCAGCAACAGTACCAGACCACCAACGCTACAGATGACCGATCACGTAGAGGAAGACTAAGGGTCACCACCCGACGTAAGGATCGTCGGATTGTGCGACAGCATCTTCAAGATCGCTTTGTCACTGCTATGGAAACTGCTCAACAGACCATTGGGACACACCAGCGACACATCAGTGCGGATACAGTACGTCGACGATTGACGAGCAGACACCTCATCTGTCACAGGGCACACCGAGGACCCATTCTCACACCACGTCATCGCCGGGGCCGTCTTCAGTGGGCAACACAGCATCAGCATTGGCACCACCAGCAGTGGAGAAGAGTCCTCTTCTCAGACGAGAGACATTACTGTATCAGATGGCAGAGAGAGAGTCTGGCGACGCCGTAGGGAACGTTAATCGGATGCTTGTGTTGTTGAAGGAGACTCGTGGGATGGTCCGAGCATCATGGTGTGGGGTGGAATTAGTCATGCACAGAGGGTCGGCCCTGTGGTCTTCCAGAATATCGGTCCAGGGAGAGGCAATGGTGTCACAGCAGGTCGCGATCGGTACATTGATCAAGTCTTGAGACCACACGCCATACCTCATTCGGCACGTCGCCGCAACCACGAGTTTCAGCATGTTTAAGCCCGTGCCCACACTGCGAGAGCAACAAGAATGGTATCAGAACCAAGCAGTGGATCGCCCTCAGTCCCGATTTAAATCCCATTGAGCACCTGTGGGACGAGATTCAAAGACGGCTGAATGACTTCCGACCAAGGCCGACAACTGCAGCTGAACTGCGTCAGACTTTCCTCAGAGTGTGGGCCTATGGCATTCATCAAACGCCTCATCCATTCCATGTATCGTTGTTGCACGGCAATCATCAATGCACATAACGGAGACACGAGATACTGACTTGTGATGCCATCTTCTCAGAGACTAGTGTTGTGTTTCACCTTAAGAACATATGACACTTTAATTTCAACCTTGATGATCAGTTTTGCCAAGTTTCATATTTTTAATATGTCTCAAAGTATGTTTACAACGTTTGGACAAATAAGGTTTCTCATATATCTATCCATGTTGACGTTTCTTTTGCGGTTCAGTATATTTTGGAGCCCTCCCTTTTAAAAATGATTGATTCGACCTTGACAGGTTTTACCACACATGGGTTTCTCTTTACTACTACATGTCGAGAAACATCTATATTTACATCTAGCCTGCTGTTTGTGTCAAGGAACTGGATTCGGCGATATGAATGGCACCGTGACATAATATTATGTGCAGAATGTCTGTGAAGTAAGACATCAAGTCACTTTGGTGTATTCCTGATGTTGATTCCGGCTGTGTTACAAAAAATCGGTGATGCCAGTCGTGCAGGCGGCTTATGTTTATAATTACATGTATGGTTGCGGCTTAAAGTTGCATCGTTAAATTTCCGACATGGGCGATATATTGATGAGTGAGTGAGTCGGGTTTACGCCACGTTTTAGCAATACCCCAGCAATGAGTTCCACAGTGTACCAATGCTGTGAATTGAACCATGGCCTTCGGCGTGACAAGCGAACTCGTTTACCACCAGCTAGTCTACCCGTTGCCCCTCCCCCACCCCACCCCCATAGAGCGATTACATAGCCAGTACAGTTGTGAAGTGAACTTGCTGATACTGTCGCTTTGAAAATAGAGTTACGTAACATTGACACAATTACGGTAATCGCCACAACAGATATAAATGTCCAAATTTGAATGTAGGTCTGAATTAGTTTTATTATCCACGTGGTGAAGATACAGGTGGCAAGATCCTAAGTCCGTATGTCACTCATGTGTCGTAAAGGTTGACCTCGTTTTATTCGTTTTGATTGGATAACCGTGACCTCTGTGAGACCGGAACTACTTTCATTTCATAAAATTTCAGGTGACGTCGTTCACTTTTACAACTACAAGGCAGAGGTGAAGGAATCTCATGAAACAAACACTTTATTAGACCAAACAAGATGGTCACAAGCATCAAATTCGCTCAAAGTTTGCATTCTATATTAGTTGTGCATAGGGCTACTACAGACATTATATAATCGAGCTATATCCATTTGCAATGTACGACTACCGATAGATCGAGGGTCCCCATGAGCGTGACGCACCCAATCACTTTCGCGACTTTCAATTTGATTTAACGTGAAAGTTTAAGCGTGGTGATATGAAGTCAGTTTAAACTATCTGGATAGATATCAAGACTTGCGTTGGATGTTCCGGTTGTGCCATCAGTGTCCCCTTCGAAGCGTATTTTGTGACCCTGCTTCCGAAGGTGTTTCTTCATGAATGAACATACACGACTGCAAGGCCAGGTCACTCAACGTGAACAGTTCCGACACAAATCATTCGAAAATTCCGTGGGTGTGTGCCTGACCTCTGTTCTGGCCCAAAACATCCCCTATTCCCTATTAAGCTCTAGGGAAATACCCTGTGTGTTGATAACAGTTGTCCTTTTTTATTCCGATGGTGACATTTCCCATCGTTCGAAGCTGTCACTGACATGCAAGCAGACTTCACGACTTCAGTATAGGGTCGTAACATCAACGTCTTTTTAAGGATATAAATTTAGCTAATAAGATCAAGGAAACCGAACCATTTTTATTGCACAGCCGAACCCGTCGGTGCGAGTGACCGGGTGTTGATCCGAGATTGAAAGCACGGCGCTTATTGACTTTTTACGTTTTCTTACTGTTGTCCTACGTACTAACAACAATGCGCTTGTATTACCATAAGCTCTTCTACATTAAGAAATTCTTTTAATATTTTTTGCACAGACAACAGCAGGAACATGTAATTAATGCGTATCCATAGAAATGTCAACAATGCCCATATTTGGGCATATATCAATATTCATGCGCTACCAGATTTGCAACCGGTTTCAGTTTGGTCTGTTAACGTACGAAAGTTGTTATGTATTTACACTTAAATACATATTTAACGTAGGTAACAAACAAACTATCACTCTCATTCTCGTTAGATACCATTTTTATGAAACTAGTTAACTTTTTATGGTATCTAACGAGAATGAGTGTAATGGTCTCCATATATTTCATTGTTGAAAGAGCAAACAATGCAAATTAAAGTTTATGGCCATGTATGTTTTCTTACAATTTTAACGGTTACAGTCAACCATCATTTTGTTTATTTCCCAGTAAACACACAATCACGCGACGAAAGTTGGTAACTGTCGAATAATAACCATTGGCCTAACTTAAAATAGAACTTTTGTAGTATGTCGTCATGAGACTCTTCTAGGTCTTTTAAGATATATTCTTGTTTCTAATAACTTTTTTTCAAAACTAACCGGGCTAACCGGGCTGGGAGGATTTAAGGTTCTTTACTTGGTTACGAATCTATAAAAGTAAAAATAATTCATATGTATCACGTGATCTCTTTTGGTGCCGTCTAATGAGTCATGTCAAAAATATCGCAATGCAAACGCAAAATTTGATATGAAAAAAAAATATATCGTTTTTTAACAGTAAAAACAATATAAAGTAAAGCTAAGGCAATTTTAGTGGCGTTACAAGAAACGAGAATATATTTTAGCTTTAGCTTCACGACCATGTATGTATTCAACACAGTACCCAAGTAGCATGTCGAGCACTTTATAATGTGTGCCGTGAAGATCCAGGGTAGAATATGTCTTCAGCAACCCATGCTTGCCGTAAAAGACGACTAACGGGATCGGGTGGTCAGGTCTTTAACTTAGCTGATGCAAGTCATCTATCCCAATTGCGAATCGATACGTATGACATCAATCACGGGGTTGTCTGGTCCAGACTCGATTATTTACAGACCGCCGTCATATAGCTGGAATATTGCTGAGTGCGGCGTAGAACACAGACCAACCACCAAAGCAACTTTGGGTGAGGGAGTGAGTGAGTTTGGTTTAACGCCGCTTTGTGCAGTATTCCAGTTTCATGGCGTGTCAGCTTAATGTGGGAGGAAAGCCCGAAGTGATGCAGGTCTCAGACGTTTACCACTTCGGTGAAACCCACGAGCACGGGTATGGTGCTGACAAACCTAGAAACATAATCGGGGCGAACCGGGATTCGAACCCACAATAATAGGTTTCTGGCGTTCCCAAGGGACGTAACTCTGCACAGCTAATCGCGGCGCCTTGGACGACTGGGCCACCCGTGACCCCCGCAATATATTGAATGGGCTGTGTCAGAGGTGACAAGATTACACATGGCGTGTGGTAGTGGTACTGGCTGGCCTCAAGGAACTCTGGACAGGAGAGTTACTGAGTTCACCACCCAGGGAAATTCTCGCATGTCTTCCCAGGGTACAACAGTGACGTCACGAAGGCATATGCAGCTGAGGTCATTATGCGGAAGTGGCCGAATGGAACTCTGGGTAGGAGAGTGTAACCAGGGATCATAATCGGGTAAACCTGGGACTCGAACCCAAATCTGGCGGATCCTAACCATCCGTACCGTTTTAAAAAGAATAAGTAAGTTAGCGATTTAAGGTATACACAAATGTAATGGGGTTGCAATAAACGACAATATAGAATTTCAACGATGTCGCTAGTATTTGACAAATATGGTTCATTTAAGTTGAGGAACTATTTCAGAAGTCCTTAGATACCTTGGCCCACCTGCACAAGGATAGCATGGCACTCCATACTTTAACACAGGCTTGTGGATACTGTTATCCCCCACTGGCACTTCCTGAGGAATAACGGCCATTGTAAATAGCAAAATATTTGGAAACTGTAGAGTGAGTGAGTACTTTTTGCTAAACGCCGTATCAGCAATCTTGCAGCTATTCGCGGCTTGGAAACTGTGGAAACGAGTTCCGTGTTCGGTGGACTGTTTTATATTGATCAAAAGTGTGTAGTTTCACATGACCCTTGCGTAGACTTGTCACTTAGCAGGGCCATTTCTTGTTGTATCCGATCCTGGTAATCCAGGAATGCAAACACTCGCTTGTAAGAACACAGGAACGTGGAGCCTACTATACTGGCGATGAGCAGAACCACGCCGAGGAATATTACAATAAAACCAAGGCCGACATTGGCTGTTTCGTATGGCTGGCATTTGTAAGCTGTGTCCTGATTGGTGGAGAAGCATTCAGCCACGGCCCAACCAGTGAAGAGGATTTGTAGCACTGACATGGAGATGCAAGTGACGCTGAGAGTAAAATGAATGGTGATCTGAAAGTACAAGTGTATGAGTGAGTACTTTAGGCTGTGTAACGCCATTTTCGACACGATGCACTTACGTCACAGCAGCTCGGCTTTGTGTGGGAGGAAACCCACAGACCATCGTAATTGAGGTGTTTGAGTGACTCGAATCAACAACTCCGAACAACAAACTGCGGGCGCTTTAGACCAAGTGGCAACATGACACCTGTAAATGTTCAGTTTGGGGTAGAAACTCTCAAAATTATCTTACCTAATATCACAACACGGGTGGGTTCAATGACGTTACCAAGGATTATCCAGGTACCCTCCAGCTGTTCTTTTCTATACCCCTACACCTGTCCCCTTTATTCAGTATTCAATAATGTATCACTATTTTTATCTGAACATATATTAAAACTACATGTTTGTTCAGTATGTTTAATTGCCAGTTATTTTATTCTATGATTTTACAGGATTTTCTGGGTTTTCTTGTCCAAAAACATCTCATCTCCTGGTCTGGGAAAATGACATTTTCACTCGTGGCTGATTGAAACGTATCATCTCGTCAGGTATAATCACAGTGAGATACGTATGTTAATTTACATGAAAAGCCACTATCCTCTATGTATTGCGTGAGGTGAGGTGAGGTGAAATTGGGTTTAACGTCGCGTCCAAGATTATTACGCTTATATAGCGACGTGCATGCACGTGTATGTGTGTGTGTGACTGCTTGTACTAGTCCGGACTGATGCCGATTTATAGTGCTAGCACACTGAGATATCATGCCGCAGTTTAACATGGATACCTCACTCAGACACAGTATACTGACTCCGAGCCGACCAGTCCTTGCTTTAGCCCTTTAATGCCGAGCGCCAAACAGGGTAACAACAAGTACCATCTTTTAACGTCTTTTGGTATGACGCGGCCGGGGATCGAACCCCGGACCTTCCGCTCTCCGGGCGGACGCTCTACCACTAGACAACGGAGGCGGTCATGTATTGCGTGAAAATTATATTTGCGATAGGGTAAATGTATTGAAAGGTGTGTTTAAAGTCCTGTTATCTTACGTAAGCACGAACTCTCACGCCAACTTCTTCAACAACATCCTTCTTCGTCGCTTTCCTTCCGTAAACACCGCCGATGAAAACCTGGAAAAAATATAAACGTCACTCCTGTGACATCCTAGCCACACAGGGGATTTACTATTGCTGACTCGACCTTTATATACAGCAATACCATGCATAGCATGAAAAAACATATTGTTACGTTGAGTTAACATAATGAACGTTGGTTTGGGCCTTAACGCCGCTCAGTCGTGATAGACATCATGAGCAGATATCTTGGATACGATGACATGCATCAACTCAGTCCGCAAACCTGTCCTGTCGAACCCGTTTTCTCTTCCGACAAACATGCTAAAGGCCACTTCTAATGTGGATCTTCACGGGGGAGTTGACATATATCAACAAATATAAATTTAAATCATATTTTTTAAAACATTATAAAATAATTTACTGACAATCATTCAACTTCGGAACTTGAACAGTGAACTTGAATCATGAGTACACAGGGTGTGACAAACGTAAGCGGCTGAAAATTCGATGCAAAAGACTTTATTATAAAACCACAGGGAATTTGACTTCACCTAGACCCCTAGAATCATTTTTAGCACCCACCCTTACATGTATAAACGGCTTTTTTAAATATCAATCATAAAAGTCACGTCATATTATCTAACACATATTGTGTCCCGGGAGAGAACTTAATAAGTGAAACAATTTCTTCACCTTACGAAATTTGGAATTGCGAGATCAAGCAGGAATTCTTGTGGTATTATGGATGCAAGATCAAGCTACTGTGTTATTTTGAAGAAATTAATGCATTCTTAAAAATGATTGACTAAAATTCCACGAACAAAACTATTACCACAAACATAGAAACATATGCTGTTTTGTGTAAAGTTCTTGCATGATGTGAACAACGAATTGCACTCACCAGAATACCCGTTAACACCGCATGTCCGTTTATCTTCGGGTATGTCGGGTTGGTGAGGGCCACGCCTACAGACACAAGGCCGGTTATTACGGAGAGTACACTGGCGACGATCTGAACCCAGGACAGTCGCAGCAGGAACAGTGCCGCCTTCCTCCGTACATCCTTCGCCTCCAAGGAGTCAGGAGCTGATGTGGTGGAACAGACAACTGTCTAAGTGATTTAGGGAAAGTTTCAGAAATATTCATGTGTATAGTGAAAGAAACACACATGAGTGAGTGAGTTTGTTTTAACGCCGCTTTTAACAGTATTCCAGTTATATGACGGCGTGTCAGCTGAATGTGGAAGGAAAGCCCGAAGTGATGCAGGCCTCAGACGTTTACCACTTTGATGAAACCCACGAGGACGGTGATGGTGCTGACAAACCTAGAAACATAAGGGTCGCAACTCTGCACAGCGAATCGCTGCGCCATAGACAACTGGGCCACCCGTGACCCCTAAACACACATGAAGTACTACATCTCAATAACATTGTTACAGACTCGAAACTATTTATATTTACAGATTTACATTTAAGACTTAATAGCGAACAGGTTGAGTAAGATTTATGACTTGAAAGTTTCGAGTTAGAGATAGGTGTAAGGGTTCATGTGAATAATGTTATGCATCTTCTAAATTGAATCTTTCCACATACAGACCGCCTCTGTGGTCTAATGGTAGAGCGTCCGCCCGGAGAGCGGAAGGTCCGGGGTTCGATCCCCGGCCGCGTCATACCAAAAGACGTTAAAAGATGGTACTTGTTGTTACCCTGTCTGGCGCTCGGCATTTAAGGGCTAAAACAAGGACTGGTCGGCTCGGAGTCAGTATACTGTGTATGAGTGTGGTATTCATGTTAAACTGCGGTATGGTATCTCAGTGTGCTAGCACTATAAATCGGCATCAGTCCGGACTAGTACAAGCAGCCACACACACACACATACACGTGCATGCACGTCGCTATATAAGTGCAATAATCTTGGACGCGACGTTAAACCCCATTTCACTCACCTCACCTTTCCACATACTATCTACGCTGCGTATTTCACCGCAAATACTTTTTTGCAGAGTATGTTCCCCGTTGTAATCCGCAGCGTATGATCTACGTGCTGTCCCAGCGTCCATTCCCCTATGTAATCCATAGCTTATGATCACATGTTCCCCGATGTATTCCGTAGCGTATGATCTACGAACCATCCAAACGTATGTTCCCCGATTTAATCCATAGCGTATGATATACGTGCTGTCCCAGCCTCCATTCCCCTATGTAATCCGTCGCGTATGATCACATGTTCTCCGATGTAATTCGTTGCGTTTGATCTACGTACTATCCCAGAGTATGTTCCCCGATGTAATCTGTAGTGTAGATCTACGTAATGTACCTGCGTACGTTCCGCAATGTAATCCGTAGCGTACGGTCTGCGTACGGTCCAAGCTTATGTTCCCCAAAGTAATCCGTAGCGTACGATCTACGTAATGTACCTGCGTACGGTCCGCAATGTAATTCGTAGCGTACGGTCTACGTACTGTCCCAGAGTATGTTCCCCGATGTAATCCTAATGTAGATCTACGTAATGTACCTGCGTACATTCCGCAAAGCAATCCGTAGCGTACGGTCTATGTACTGTTCAAGCTTTTGTTCCCCAAAGTAATCCGAGGCGTATGATCTACGTTCTGTCCCAAAGTATGTTCCCCAAAGTAATCCGAGGCGTATGATCTACGTTCTGTCCCAAAGTATGTTCCCAAAAAGTAATGCGAGGCGTATGATCTACGTTTTGTCCCAGAGTGTGTTCCCCAAAGTAATCCGAGGCGTATGATCTACGTTTTGTCCCAGAGTGTGTTCCCAAAAGTAATCCGAGGCGTACGATCTACATACTGTTCCAGAGTATGTTCCACAAAGTAATCCGAGGCGTACGATCTATGTTCTGTTCCAGAGTATGTTCCACAAAGTAATCCGAGGCGTACGATCTATGTTCTGTCCCAAAGCATGTTTCCCAAAGTAATCCGTAGCGCACGATTTATGTACTGTTCCAGAGTATGTTCCACAAAGTAATCCGCAGCGTATGATCTACATACTGTTCCAGAGTATGTTCCACAAAGTAATCCGTAGCGTACGATCTATGTTCTGTCCCAAAGCATGTTTCCCAAAGTAATCCGTAGCGCACGATTTATGTACTGTCCCAAAGCATGTTTCCCAAAGTAATCCGAGGCATATGATCTATGTACTGTCCCAAAGAATGTTCCCCAAAGTAATCCGTAGCGTACGATCTATGTACTGTTCCAAAGTATGTTCCCCAAAGTAATCCGTAGCGTACGATCTATGTACTGTCCCAAAGTATGTTCCCCAAAGTAATCCGTGGCGTACGATCTATGTACTGTCCCAGAGTGTGTTCCCCAAAGTAATCCGTAGCGTACGATCTATGTACTGTCCCAGAGTGTGTTCCCCAAAGTAATCCGTAGCGCACGATTTATGTACTGTCCCAAAGTATGTTTCCCAAAGTAATCCGAGGCGTATGATCTATGTACTGTCCCAAAGTATGTTCCCCAAAGTAATCCGTAGCGTACGATCTATGTACTGTCCCAAAGTATGTTCCCCAAAGTAATCCGTAGCGTACGATCTATGTACTGTCCCAGAGTGTGTTTCCCAAAGTAATCCGAGGCGTATGATCTATGTACTGTCCCAAAGTATGTTCCCCAAAGTAATCCGTAGCGTACGATCTATGTACTGTCCCAAAGTATGTTCCCCAAAGTAATCCGTAGCGTACGATCTATGTACTGTCCCAAAATATGTTCCCCAAAGTAATCCGGGGCGTACGATCTATGTTCTGTCCCATAGTATGTTCCCCAAAGTAATCCGAGGCGTATGATCTATGTACTGTCCCAAAGTATGTTCCCCAAAGTAATCCGTAGCGTACGATCTATGTACTGTCCCAAAGCATGTTTCCCAAAGTAATCCGAGGCGTATGATCTATGTACTGTCCCAAAGTATGTTCCCCAAAGTAATCCGTAGCGTACGATCTATGTACTGTCCCAAAGTATGTTCCCCAAAGTAATCCGTAGCGTACGATCTATGTACTGTCCCAGAGTGTGTTTCCCAAAGTAATCCGAGGCGTATGATCTATGTACTGTCCCAAAGTATGTTCCCCAAAGTAATCCGTAGCGTACGATCTATGTACTGTCCCAAAGTATGTTCCCCAAAGTAATCCGTAGCGTACGATCTATGTACTGTCCCAAAGTATGTTCCCCAAAGTAATCCGTAGCGTACGATCTATGTACTGTCCCAAAATATGTTCCCCAAAGTAATCCGAGGCGTACGATCTATGTTCTGTCCCATAGTATGTTCCCCAAAGTAATCCGAGGCGTATGATCTATGTACTGTCCCAAAGAATGTTCCCCAAAGTAATCCGAGGCGTACGATCTATGTACTGTCCCAAAGTATGTTCCCCAAAGTAATCCGAGGCGTATGATCTATGTACTGTCCCAAAGTATGTTCCCCAAAGTAATCCGAGGCGTACGATCTATGTTCTGTCCCAAAGTATGTTCCCCAAAGTAATCCGAGGCGTACGATCTATGTACTGTCCCAAAGTATGTTCCCCAAAGTAATCCGAGGCGTACGATCTATGTACTGTCCCAAAGTATGTTCCCCAAAGTAATCCGAGGCGTATGATCTATGTACTGTCCCAAAGTATGTTCCCCAAAGTAATCCGAGGCGTACGATCTATGTACTGTCCCAAAGTATGTTCCCCAAAGTAATCCGAGGCGTACGATCTATGTACTGTCCCAAAGTATGTTCCCCAAAGTAATCCGAGGCGTACGATCTATGTACTGTCCCAAAGTATGTTCCCCAAAGTAATCCGAGGCGTATGATGTCCTCTCGGAATTTCCACGTTATTATATAATGAGTGATTGAGTGAGTGAGTGAGCATAGCTTTACGCCGCTTTTAGCAATATTCCAGCAATATCACGGCGGGGGACACCAGAAATGGGCTTCACACATTGTACCCATGTCGGGAATCGAACCCGGGTCTTCGGCGTGACGAGCGAACGCTTTAACCACTAGGCTACCCGACCGCCCCAGTGTGATTGAGTGAGTGAGTGAGTGAGTGAGTGAGTGAGTGAGTGAGCTAGGTTCAATGCCGCCTTGAACAGCATTCCAGCAATATCACGGCGAGTCAGTTTAATGTGGGAGGATGGGATGTATGTCTACCACTTTGGCGAAAATTTAACGAGCACGGGGTTGGTGCTGGCAAACCAAGAAATATAATCGGAGCGAACTGGATTTAAACCCTAGAAAGTCATTATTGTGAATTGGAAAAGGATTACGACCACTTTCTATTTAGAAATTGCAGAATCAAGTAAAAGTACCCAAATCCCCGATTACATACTTACCATACTAATTACATGAAAATGAAATAGAAATTCAAATTTGAAAACCCCCAAAACAGTTCAGTTGGGAGAAGAGTATTCGGCGTCACGACAACCAGGTGCGACTCCCACTGTAGCAGAAATGCAATTGCTTACATAAAATGGTTTTGTTTACACTTAAAATTAGCCTCGTTGTGCCTCTGATAACTGTGTTTGTAAACATAACGGTTGCGACATCAACTCCATGCATGGTTGTAGGCCGCCTAGCACAGCGGGGAGCTGTGACTCGTGCCAGCGATAGTCCAGAGAGCTCCGCGAACGGGCTATCGCTGTGAGGAGCTTGACATATGCCTACTGGGACTAGAGTGAGTGAGTGAGTGAGTATGGTTTTACGCCGCTTTTAGCAATATTCCAGCAATATCACGGCGGGGGACACCAGAAATGGGCTTCACACATTGTACCCATGTCGGAAATCGAACCCGGGTCTTCGGCGTGACGAGCGAACGCTTTAACCACTAGGTTACCCGACTTCCCCCACTGGGACTGGTCATGACGCTAATTTGTCAAAAATCGTACAGAAATAACCATTAGAATATTTACCGATGGCATTCGAACGGCAACAGCAACCAGTATTCTCCATATTTGGTAATTTCCGAAGACGAAGTCGGGAGCGAGGTGATCAGATGTTTATCAGTGTTTGCAAACCAACGTCATCAACACGGTCGCATGACCCACGCACGTGACTGTTATCACGCGCCATATCACTGATACGGTTATTGTTATGTCTAGCGACAGACACTGATATGTGCATGGCAACACTCATTGCTAAGGTGTCAATTTCGGTGGTGGTATCTATAACACTTGCAAAGTTCACTTCGGGAACAGTTAATACGGTGGATATTGGATATTTCAAATCTTAAAACGTTTAGTTAAATGTTGTTCGTTTGTTTTCTCTCTGCGCGCGCGCGCGTGTGTGTGTGTGTGTGTGTGTGTGTGTGTGAGAGAGAGAGAGAGAGAGAGAGAGATTCTCATCTGCACATTATTGTATCTGATATAGTCAATGGTTATACAGTACAGTTACCTTTTCTAAATATGGACATCGTCTCTGGTCTAGTGGGTAGAGCGTCTAATTAGACAGCGGGAGGTGGTTCGATCCCCGGGAGCTTTACACCAAAAGTCAAGTCAAGTCAAAGTCAAGCCTTTCTTTCATTCATAATGTGGTACACACATACACATTGACAATCGAAAAATGACATTTCTGCGACAGTCTTGCAATAACTGGACAGATTTAAAAACACTAGGGTGCATATATGAGTATTGGCAAATACAGACTTCTTAACTCCATATATTTTGGAAACATTATTAAAACTTCCTGACCTCTATATCTGTTTCACAAATTGTTCTAGCTGTAATTTGGGTTTAACCCGTCTCCCCTTTTCAAATATTGAACAGACCCGTGAAGATCCGGGGTAGAATAGGTCTTCAGCAACCCATGCTTGCCGTAAAAGGCGACTATGCTTGTCGTAAGAGGCGACTAACGGGATCGGGTGGTCAGGCTCGCTGACTTGGTTGATGCATGTCATTGATCCCAATTGCGTGGATCGATGCTCATAATATTAATAACTGGATTGTCTGGTTCAAACTTGATTATTTACATACCGTCGTCATATAGCTGGGATATTGCTGAGTTCGGCGTTAAACTACCAACCAACTAACCAATCATGAACATATTTGGACTGGACCAAAAACGTGATAGAGCTCCTCGGTATTTTACATCAATACTATTAAGATACATTTCAAAATATAAGGCTTCCTTCATTGACAGACCAAAAGACGTTAAAAGATGGTACTTGTTGTTGTCCTGCCTGGCGCTCGGTTTTAAGGGCCTAAAACAAGCCCATTTCTTCTGTCCCCCGCCGTGATATTGCTGGAATATTGCTAAAAGCGGCGTAAAACCATACTCACTCACTCTACTTTCGTAGATCTGTCGTACGGGATCTCCAAAACACAACAGCGCGTTTCCCTTGGCTAATGTTATGAATTCCATCCCGAGAACTAACCCATGTTTTCCACGTGCAGCATCAATGTTTGTCCGACTATAAAAGGATTGCTGAACACGTGCCACTCACGTGGTCGCTGTCTGACTGGTAAGCAACTCTTTTCCGCTCGTGAGTAAAATGAAATTAAAAGGGGGAAAACGAAAAGAAAAACATAACACAGGGTCGTATGCATCTGTTATTTTGGTGCTTGCTAATTTTCATGTTTTCCTTAAAGTGACCGATTTCACTTCACAAATTGGTTCTTGGTCTGTGAATACATGTCTTTCCTCGCGACTCTCGTACCACGTGTGAGAGCAGGATGGACCGCCGCAACCTACGTGCCTGTCGCAGCAGGTCACTGGAACGAGAATTGGAAGGCCTGGCCCCGAACATTTGGTTGACCTGTGCCTAAAATCTATTCTTGCGGCGTCGCTCTTCAAGTGCAATCTTGAACGCGACGTTAAACTCCTTTTCAAGTAGTGTCTTTACCTTGAGGTTCAATCGCGTACGATCCTCGAATGAATTTTTATTTTATTTCAGATTCAAGAATGTCTACCGAACACGCACTGTTGGCGTTGCTTGCCTTCGTGGTAAGTAAAATCGGCCACGAGACCCTTATCTATCGTCGCAATCGGAAAGAATCATTCTTGTATTGCATTAGGTGTTCTAGGTTTTGGGGGTCGACAGTTGCCTGTTTACCAGCCCACCTTACCTCGTATATATTATATTATACACTCTATCATCGAGTTCCTGTGCGTGTGGTCTGGCTCGCTGCATGTCATTGGGTCCTAATTGCGGGGACCGATGCTCATGTCAATCGCTAGATTGTCTGGTCCAGACCCGATTTTTAAAATATTTTTTTATAATATTTTTATTATCTATAACAGACCACCGTCATATAGCTGCAATATTGCTGAGTGCGGCGTTAAACAAATTTACCGAAACGCTCATCCCTTAACCCAATTCTCCCAACCTGAATCAAATGGTTGCTTCAAAGGTGAAATGTGACCGACCCAGTCGTAGATTATGGCGTTATTATCTATAGGTTGTACACTGAAAGTTATGTGTGCATTTTTCAGTCGTTTTGAAATTTATCATGATTTCTCTTTGCAGGCTATTGTTGACGCAGATATTCCGGCAGGCTATATCCTGAAAAGTGAGTTGTAGCATTGTTTACTACACGTCCATGGCGACGCCCGATATAATACGCCATAGTATGTCAAGCTTACTAGAGGCCTTAAATAGGACTGGGGGTCGATGCACAGGTCACCGTCATCTAGCTGGAATAGGGGGCACGGGTGGCCCAGTCGTCTAAGGCGCCGCGATTCGCTGTGCAGAGTTGCGTCCCTTGAGCACGCCAGAAACCTATGATTTAGGGTTCGAATCCCGGTTCGCCCCAGTTATGTTTCTAGGTTTGTCAGCAACATACCCGTGCTCGTGGGTTTCACCGAAATGGTAAACGTCCAGGACGTGCATCACTTCGGGCTTTCCTCCCACATTAAGCTGACACGCTGTGATATAACTGGAATAATGTTAAAAGCGGCGTTAAACCCAACTCACTCACTCACTCTAGCTGGAATATTTCTGACTTGTCTTAAATATCGGTTTTGCTGTTACAGCTCGCTGAGTACCTGTCCGCATATATATATATATATATATATATATTTAGTTTGCTGTGATAACGCAGGAATATTTCTTTAGACACCCGTGAAACTCCGGGTAAGAATACCAGTGTCTTCAATACATGCTTGCGTTAAGGCGACTATGCTTATCGTAAGAGGCGACTAACGGGATCTGGCGCTCAGTCGCTAACTTCGTTGATGGAGGTGAATCGCTGGATTCTGATTCCGACTCGGTTTACAGACAGACGGCGTATAGCTGGAATATTGCCGATCGCGAGTGCGGCGTTAAACAACAAACATTTACAAGTTTTACGATACCTGTCGAACTGACTTTTTTTTTTTTATCCCTTCTGTTTTTCAGTTACGCCCAATTGTGGCGCTAACGGTGTTACGGATGGGTCGGTGACGGTGGTGACGGATCTGAACGCGGACGCCAAGGCCGTGTGCGCAGGAGGGTTGAGAGTTCCGTTTTCTACCAGGGATGGTGTGAACTTTAAACTTCCGTTTTCGTATTTCGCCAGGAGACGTGGCCGGCGCTGTGTCTTCGTCGTAAGTACCTTGATACATCAAATGCATGCTAAGTTCTAAACTGTACCACCTTCAACGTACATGTTGCGTGTGACGGGATATGTGTGGCCTGGGATGTTGGATTCGAACTGCTGCACACGACATTTTTTTTTTTTTAAACTTGCACCAGATATCAGAGCTCCAGATAAGCTGCGTATCTGCGTAAAATACGCATCAGAAATGCAGAAATACGCAGTAAAATAAAATCCAAGCGTATTAAATACGGTACGAATATTACAGATACGCTACAAAAATAAAACTTGTGCGTATCATCAAAATATTGTGAAGTAACCCTGCGTATTCGATTAGCAAATCAGCAACTTATTTTGAAATTATAAACGGGCATTCCGCCAACCTTGACAGTTACATCATGATCATTTGCCATCACACTTTCTTGTGGCAGTAACGTGGTATTTTTGAGTCCTATAAAGCTCTGGAACCCACACGACACCAGTTTGCAGGAACTAGATGAATAGTATTTTTAAATATTTAACTTAAATACCCATATGTGTAAACTAGTGGGTAACAGAAATTTGAATACCCAGATAGAATTACTGATACCCAATGCATGGGTAAAATCCCCACAACACCGAAAGCTTATCTGGAGCTCTGAGATATGCTTTCTACTGTAGTCTGTTTGTATTCAAGAGACGTCCCAACTCAAGGATGTATGCTGCTAAGGTTATCGTGTCATACGGGGAGCCAGGGAGCCTGTTGCATCAGTACACGGAGGAATACACGATCTCATGCTCGTTCGGGGCCAAAGGAAATGATGTCAGCGCCGTTCAGAGAATAGGCAAAACGTAAGATTAACATTCGCTTTGGATTGTGCATTGGGTGCGTCGGGCAGATCTATGAACGGTCGAAAGTTGATATTAAGCAGACATTAACGAACATTTGGTTTGTTATAACGCCGCAATCGCAATATTTCAGCTATATGACGGCGGTCTGTAAATAGTCTAGAACAAATAATCTAGTGATTTACATGAGCATCCAAGTAATTGGGATCGATGACATGCATCAACCAAGTCTGCGCGCCTGACCACCCGATCCCGTTAGTCGCCTCTTACCACAAGCATAGCCGCCTTTTACGGCATGTATTGGTTGCTGAAGACCTATTCTACCCCGGACCTTCACGGGTCGGGAACATTTGAACTCTTGGACGTCCACATCAACTGAACCGCTAACGGCTCGCTTCTAATTTCCGAATCTTTCGATATACTCCCACAAAAAATAGTCTACCAAATACAAGTGTACCATCTGGTGTCGAACATGTAATACGCGGAAGCGAAATCTTGTACCCTTCAATTTTATGAATGTTCAAGGTTGATGGCCCCGAAAGAGATTCAAACCAACGTTGGCCGCAAAAGTGGGTCCCTTATCTCCTTGAGGATGCTTGATGTCCTTGGAAACGACATGACTGGTGTCAAGGTCAACCACGGCCGTAAGGTGTGCATCAGTGCATCTGTTACTGGTAAGTATCCCCCAACACTGCAATATATTCATAGATGCTACAATATTTAGTTTAAATTCGAGCAGCTCTGAAGTTCAGATTTCTTCATGGCAGTAAACTGTACATTTAGAATCGTACAGAATTGATACAGGGAACATATCTGTACATCACTTGCTTGATAACGGTGTCAGGACCTACACCGAAACGTCGCTCCTTATTGTAATAAAGAAGTTGTCCATCCATATATCGTAGCCTTAGTACTCCAACTTGATGAATTCTAGAACCATCACGTGATTTGTTCATTACAAGAATAAGTGTACTTTTTAGAAACCCACCATTAACAACTCGAATGATCAAGCCCATAGTTTGCTAGAACGCGTGACACTGAAACGGTCGTTTGGATAAGAAAATGACTTTTTCTAATTTTAAAAATGAATTTAATTCACGTTCTCAATTTTTAATTTTTTTTTTTTTTTATCTAAACCTTTATTGTAAAAGGTCAGTTTCTTCCTGTAACGATGTTAGAGTTCGTTGGCGTTTCATTTAGTTCCTGAGCCCCAATGTCGATGGCCTGTTAACGGAATACACATGCCTACACTGGCCTCGACATCATGCCATGGCCCGTCCTTTAGGGACAAGCTAGTTAACGAAAGGAGTGACTAGGAACCGACCACATTGCACAGCAGAAAAATATAACTTTCTTGATGGCGAAAGATTTCAAAATGTATACACTTGTCTCGCTTGTTTTTTTTCACCTTCCCATGTGGTGACTTCTTCGAGTACTGATGACGTTTTATTGTTCCAGGCCCCGAGAAAGGCATCCGCCCCGTGTCTTGCGACGCTATCGACAGTTCTAATGCTCGCTATGCCATCCTAAGAGCTGGGTAGGATTACGTTATCACTGCACTGTAGATAATCTGATCTGTACATGGACAACTGTGCATTTATTAAGAACCCTACTTTGTTGGATACTTTGTACGTGGTACATTTAAAAACTGACTGGTGCGTTTTATTGTTGGAAACAACACAACACATAGCACAATGAAGCTGACGTTGTCAATCTACGTTATCTGAATTCTAAAAACAACCCATGCTTGTAAGAGGCGATTAACGGGACGGATGGTCAGGCCCGCTGACTTGGTCTGATGCATATCATCGTATCCCAATTGCGTGGATTGATGCTCATAATGTCGATCACTGGATTGTCTGGTCCATATTCGCTTATTTACAGATAGCAGTCATATAACTGGAATATTGCCGAGTGTGGCGTCTAAAAACTGAGTTAAAAAACACTGAAGTATCGGCACCCGGCCCACACCACGAATCTCGTCCCCCACTCCTGCCGCAGATCTGATCTCGAATTAACATCGAGATGATGCAGTATATGGGTCGGTTTTATTCCATTCACAACGAGAGGGTTTCTAGCTGACCGTCAAAAGTATTACATTGGGATAAGATCGGAATTTTGTCGGAATTGGGTTTTCAATCGGGCGGTGCTCTGTTTCGGTATACTAAACATTTTCTTAGGACCATTGCTTTCGTTTAGACTTTTTTTTTTGGGGGGGGGGGGGGGGGGGGGGGGTCGGTCGCGCGGACGCATTTCAGTGACGTGGGCATAAACATGTGCAGCTCTTGATCACATTAGCCAATATACTCGGAGCTGCATACTTGGGTAACCCTCTGTGAATGACGCAGACATTGCTAAATAGCTATTTCGCTGAATCTTTGGTAATTCAAACGTTCGGTTAAACGAGGACGGTACAGTTTAAATGAACCCAGGAAATGATCTAGTCGTGTAATGGCCACATTACTAAACGGACGCCTTGTTTGTTGTCAGGACGTTATCAAAACCTAGGTGGTTTTACATCATTCCTTGTTCGAACTGTCATGTTTCAGCTGCGGAGATGGAATAGTGTTCAGCAAGAACAAGGGCTTCAAGACCGTCGGCAAGAAAACGACTAGCCCTGTTTTCAAGGCTTTCAGCATCAACGTTGACAAGGCGCTCAAGTTCGAATGCAATTTCACCCTTTGTGCGTCTCGGTGTGACGGTGTAAGTAGACACTTCTGTGCTATCTGTTATTGCAGGGAACGACTTTCATCTACGTCTACAACTGAATGGAAGGCATTTCAATTGACCGAGTAGAAGCAAGCACAAGATGAACAAGTCTACCCAAGACGACCCGGGTTAGAATAGGTCTTCAGCAACCCATGCTTGTCCTAAAAGGCGACTAACGGGATCGGGTGGTCAGTCTCGCTGACTTGGTTGATGCATGTCATCAATCTCAAGTGCGTGGATCGATGCTCATGTCTATCACTGGATTGTCTGGTTCACTCTATTTACAGACAACCGTCATGTAACTGGAATATTGCTGAGAGCGGCGTTAAACGGTCTTGGCATGGCATTGAGGCGGGCTGCGTCGAGATTTTCATTTGAAAATGTCAGCGTTTGGAATGGTCATGTGTTGAGGCATCTCACTCGCTCTATTGCATGCATTGCACGATTTTTCACACGCAAATCATGCTTGTGACCTCGCGTGCATTACGCCTAATGTCAAAACACTTTCATTGGCACAGTCATCTCGGTTTTCAATCACTCGTGCACATTTGTGTTTACTTCTCTTATTCCTGTGATTTATAATTATTATATATAATATTCCAATGCAGTTTCTTTTTGGGGTAGTATATATTTAATTTAACATCTTTAAACTACCGTTATGGCCACCATGCAACTGTTACTAGCCATTTAAGGTGTTTAGCCATTTATACTTAATGTAGTGTTCTCTACAATTCTATCCAATTGCAATTTGAAAATCTCATGAAATTGATTCACCGAGGAAGCTGAATTTTCGTATGTTTCGACTCTCGTGCATTAAAACTTTCCACATTTAGAAACTATTTGAAAACTGTTTCGAGTCACGGGTGGCACAGTCGTCTAAGGCGCAGCGATTCGCTGTGCAAAGTTACGTCCTTTGGGCACGCCAGAAACCTATGATTGTGGGTTCGAATCCCGGTTCGCCCCGGTTATGTTTCTAGGTTTGTCAGCACCATACCCGTGCTCGTGGGTTTCACCGAAGTGGTAAACGTCCAAGACGTGCATCACTTCGGGCTTTCCTCCCACATTAAGCTGACACGCCGTGATATAACTGGAATACTGTTAAAAGCGGCGTTAAACCCAACTCGCTGACTAGTTGTTTCATTGTTCCTACGTTTTGTGGTGTGTAGGCAGATACTGGTTGAATAGCAGTTCTGACAGCAATTCTTAGTGACTTAACTGACTTATATCCAGCCGAGCAACACGAGACTCCATCGGAGTGTTTCCTCTTGGTACAGATACATGAACTTGTCCCACGTAAAGTATATAACATACGTATACTAGCCACATAAAGAAACTGTGCACGGAGAAAATATATTCTGGATTGAAATACAACACAGCAAGAACAAAATGATGCAGACGCTGTAGCAGCTGAATGATCGGACCATAAGAAAATGTCAACGGGACCTGAACATCTGTTACGATGACGTCAGACGATCAATATGGAGTAGGGGATCATACGACAGTCACAAAGTCAATAACGGGTATGACCACCCTGTGCGTGAATCACAGCAGTGCATCGGCGACGCATGGAGTCCACCAAATGGGCATGGAAGGCCTGGGGAATGGCCTGCCATATCCTCCTCAAATCTTACGTTATCTGGAGGATGTGGAAGACGACGCAGACGGCGCTCCATTTCATCCCACACATGCTCTATTGGGGAGAGATCTGGAGAAACTGCAGGCCATGGCAGTAACATGACATTGTTATGGTGAAGGAAATCCATTGCGACCCTAGCCGTGTGAGGACGAGCGTTGTCCTGTTGAAATGTCAATCCCGGGCCATGACGTTGCAGAAAAGGAATGACCACAGGCCTCAGAATCTCTGTAGCCAACACCGGTGCACAGTTTCTTAATGTGGCTAGTATACTTTGTCTTCACGTGCATAATACCCTAACCCTAGCAATTGCAGTGGCGAAAGCCAGTTCAGCGATTGTATAGACTTGCGACAGTCGATAAACTATAGTAGATGGCCATGGCTGCAGTTGATACCAAACAGGCCCCGTTCTCTAGGTGCAGCCCGTACTACCTGTGCCATTTGTAAGCGTTCAGGACATCTCTGGTTCCTGAGGCAGACGCCTTCTGCTTGACAGAAAATTCTGACAGCGACGTGAAATAAATCTCACAGCAATATTGACTATTCCAATCCTTTTCATGTACAATGGGCATGCTTTTCCGAAGGATTTTGCTGTCGGACAAGTTCATAGTGTAACCATGCTGCCATTCTTTGCAGAATTCCTGTACTAACGCACGGCGTCGCCGAGGTAAGTATAACTGACCGTCTCTCGTATACCTACCCTAACACTGAATACAGGTTCGGTAGTTTGCTGATTTACGTGCCAGCGAACACCGGTGCTCGCATGAAGTCACTGGTTTGTCTACTAAAGATTGGTTCTTTTCAGGCGGTCGTGAGCTAGAAAATAGTTTAGCGTTATAGTAACTCGGTGGGAAATGAGAATACAAATCCCAAGAACTTTGAATCTATTTTCATTCATATATAGAACCGACAATGGCTTTACAGATTTTGTTCACACTGCTTTAAAGCATCTTAAAGTCGGTTGTCTACAGCTAGAAAATGTAGTACATGTGAGTTTTGATTTTAAGATTCAGGGTATATTTTCATGTCAAGCCTAGTCTATTACTTCAGAGTACATGTTTGTTTAGCTTTACTATCGCTTTACTATCGCTTTACCCATGTTTCTTAATGACGCTACAACTAGTTCATACCAAAATATACTGATTAAATTTAACGAGCATTAATGGTTACTGTTTCCAAATTCATTTGCAGGTACCAGGGAAGACGATAAGAAGTTTGTGCTGGCAGCGACCGACTCCTTAAACTTAAACGGAGGAACTAAACTGCGCCCCGTGGGAACGGTAGAACACATTAAACACCGGTCGCCTTGATGACGCTCTGTACTTAACGGGTTGTGGGAGAAATAAATATGAAAAATCATTCTCTTCCTGTTATGAATTACGACCAAATATACTATTTCACGAAATCTTCCAGAAAACATGTTTATCATCAGTTGGAATGAACGTTTTGAGATGTGCTACTCCATGTGAAATTGATAAATGTTCCAGAATCGCGTGCACGTTTGCATGTTATAATAAAAAACCTTTTGATATGATTTGGATCGAGATATCATAACTCTAACATTTCCGGTATTAATTGAGATTAAAATCTCTTCGGGTTTCCTATTTTTTGCCTTGACGTATGTTTCTTTTGGCACAATTTCAATTTGACTGCATCGCAATCAGGCCAATTTGAAACAATTGAAAAATAGAAAATGTGGATTTCATGGGAAACTCTCCTCGATGGAGTGATACTATTTTCATGACTATAGCAGCACTGTATTTTAGTGTCGAATGTATACATCCTGAGTCATGAAACTACTCTTCACGAAGTGGGTCGTAATATTCGGGAACATATTGATATAAATATGATTATAAGAAATTGACCCACTTGTCGATGAGTCGATCCTGAATAAAACTGTAGTCTCTAAATGGTAAACAGTGAAGCATACCCGCGAAATGCTAGTGAGTTGTTGCTGCCACTCTAGTAATGTCTGGTTACATAGTTGCCCGCAGAAAGTGGTTGGTGAAATAGCCTTCGAAACCCAGGTGAAGCATTCACGATACAAGAGGTTCTTGTCTGAATTACGATCTCGCAATATCACACGTGGGTCATCGGTTAGGTCCGGTAGAAGGCATCACGGGCCTCGGCCCTCGGCCCTCGATTTAATGTAAAACGCAGCAAATAATCCAAAATATTGAAATATTGCCAAGCCTGTATGTTTGGTTAACGAGTAGTTGATATAATATTTCCTTAGTAGACATAAACTTTATCCTGTAATAGCGACCGCTAAGTGTCATAATATAGTTCGTCATTGATATTTCTTTGATATTTCTTCAAAAATTGAGCACCCGTTTTGGTTGGAAATAAAAGGTAAACATTAGTGTACTCAGTCTCGCCGAGTACACGTGTACTTAATCAAGTTTGTCGCAGTCAGCGACGGGATCGGGTGGTCAGGCTCGCTGACTTGGTTGATGCATGTCATTGATCCCATTTGCGTGGATCGATGCTCATGTTAATCATTGGATTGTTTGGTTCAGACTCGATTACTTTCAGACCTCCGTCATATAGCTGGAACATGTTTGGATGCGGCGTTAAACAACAAAGCAATCGGTAAACCAGACCTCGCACAAGAGGATTATGGAAGACAAATGGGCGATATTTAGCATCAACTTTAAGTCATTTCTTTATCGTGTTAACGTCTCCTGTAAGTGTTTAACCCAGCCCAAATTTTGGGACCCTCCCTGGGGGGTCTGGCGGACCTTATGCAGAGGAAAATTTGTCAGGTATGGGCCGAGTTGTACTCAGTAACATGAAACTTGTTCATCTAAACTTACTTTCATCTGGTACTTTGGTAAAATTTGACTAGAGTATACATTCAGTGTCCACTGAGTGCATTAAGGGTCAACATTTGGGGGTGTCTTGCGGGCCTTATGCAGCAGACGATTTGTCTGGCAATGGGTATTTTATACTTAGTAGAGTGTAATAGTTCATTTTATGTTGATTTCATGTGGTACCTCCATTGTTTAACCCAGCCAAAATTTTGGGACCCTCTCTGGGGGTGTCTGGCAGGCCTTATGCAGAGGAAGATTTGTCTGGCGTGGCCCATTCTGTACTTTGTGAGATGAATCAGTTCATTTACACTTACTTTCATGTGGTATTTCCAATGTTTGATCTAGTCCTTGAATGGTCCCTTCTTTTGGGGGGCCAGGGGCCACACGCAGCAGGGGCTCCCCGGTTCCCCCGGCATATATGAATATGTTGGGTTACACAGTAAATGTTCCGGGGGCCACACGCAGCAGGGGGTCCCCGGTTCCCCCGGCATATATGAATATGTTGGGTTACACAGTAAATGTTCCGGGGGCCACACGCAGCAGGGGCTCCCCGGTTCCCCCGGCATATATGAATATGTTGGGTTACACAGTAAATGTTCCGGGGGCCACACGCAGCAGGGGGTCCCCGGCAGACATCCATATATGAATATGTTGGGTTACACAGTAAATGTTCCTGTGTTCGGATATTGGTACCTTGTTCGTTTGACCAAAGTGCTCTGGGCTGCCGGTCTATAGGTTTCTGGCGTGCCCAAGGGACGCAACTCTGCACAGCTAATCGCGGCGCCTTAGACGACAGGGCCAGCCGTGCCCCCCATGGAGTCCGGAGCACAAGTTGTGTATATACGCAACTATTGAAGGGTCACGTACATAATACGAGACTGAAAAGTATATATAACTATTGACATTTATTTCAAAAGAAACTATACAGGCAGAAGGTCACCGGTGATTGGGTACCCTACAGCATGTTCATAAAACTACTGTGACACTAGACGTTTGCGAAGTCAGTATCGTGTGTAACCTCCCGATACTGTGCACCTTGCCAGGTTAATTGAAAACAGCCTGGGGTATGGCGTTCCATTCCCAACATCATGCGGAACAAGGCAACTCCTGGCGGCATAGGTAATCCTAAACACGTTCGAGTGAGCCTAAAGCCAGATAATCAAGACGGCCACTCCGCCCTGCGTATTCTTGTTGATAAATTCATTAGCACTGTTAAAGTGCAAACCATTCTATACTTCTCTTAAAAACTTCATTTATACAAAATAACCATCAAAATTGCACCAAAATTATATCCTTTGTATACAGCAAACATTTGGTGTATTCCCCTCTAACCACAAGCCCCCTCAAGGCAGGACCCTTAATGTAAATGTCAATTAACACCTTAAATCACCGGAGACACGTTAAGATTCCGGGTTAGAATAGGTCTTCAGCAACCCATGCTTGTCGTAAAAGGCGACTAACGGGATCGGGTGGTCAGGCTCGCTGACTTGGTTGATGCATATCATCAATCCCAATTGCGTGGACTGATGCTCATGATTCAATCACTGGATTGTCTGGTCCAGACTCGATTATTTACAGACCGCCGTCATATAGCTGGAATAGCGTTAAACAACCAACCAAAATCACCGGATGTTACGTACGTGGGTCACTGACCTAACACCACGTCACGTGATTCCTCCATGTACAAAACCTGACTGACATGGTCAATCTGACGTGCTTAGATCGACAGAAGCGTTCGCTGCGGCCGCCGTCTCTCAGACTTCCTATGTGACACAGCAGGTCCCTGATGTGCGTTCTGTCACGTGATTGCCATTTCGACCTGTAAGTATTTCAACCTGCAACAAAAAACATATCTATCTTCAACCCTGAGCTACCTTCCGAGAGGAAAATGTACGCTCTTGGACACCATGGAGAGGACGTGTAGAATCGGGCACATCTGTAGTGCAGTCATTCTCGGTTAAATGGTACAAATACAGTCGCTCAGATATGACGCCGATTTATTCCTAAATTGTAGTGTATTTGAAAATACATTTAAACAAATAATACATGTGCAAATAATTCAGATGTAATTTCCTAGCTTAAGGGTGCCATTTTTCAATTGTCGGTGAATAACATTTCAATCATGAAAATGTTAAACTAAGATATGTGTGAAGATGTCAGAAATGCTATCATTCTGATAGATACTTCAGTATAGTCCTCTTATTTCAATACCAAAAATCCTGCATGTGAGCCAGAATTGAATTGTCAAATATACTTAAATATGTTGTCGGCAGATGTTGCGAAATTTACCTTATGCTAACGTTCATTACGCTTAGCTCATTTGTTTGTAGCATATTTTGTAATTATATAACCAAACAGGTTTATTCAAAGCTGGAAAGAAGATACAAAAAGTATATACCTTGTAAAATACAACAAACGCTATAGTTAGTAAGAACTTGTTCGTTGATGAGGCATTTTCAATTTGTTTAAGGATGTAATTATACGTGACAGCTAGTTAAAGGTAATGTGAATTTGGATTAGTTTCAGCCTAATATTGTCAGGACTTCTATATCCACAATTGTTTCGTCACAGAACAGCGCCAAAACGCAGCTTTTTCTATCTGAATATGAACCATTGGAGTTCAGATGTAATTTACGTTTGAGAGGCATTTGAAAAAAAACCCGTTTAGTAGTAAATGTAAACCCCAAAGACTATTTAAACACGTGTTTGTACCACTGGCCATTGCGTCACGCCTTCTGACGTCATCAGGTTTGGCTTGTCCATGTTGTTCAGTATAACGTTAATTTCTCGTGATGGGATCTTCATTTACTGCTATTTAACTTTATAAAATCTGACAAATCTTTCTTTTATTTTGTGCTTAGAAGTGTCATCAATCTAAATAACCCACCAGGTTAAATTAAAATATCGAGTTTTTATCATTTTTAGTCAAATTCAATGACAGATCAATTATTGTTGGGAATTCTTCAAAGAACCCACCGCCAGGAGCCGTATTTTAAAATATATTCGAGATAAATTGTATTTGTAAAATTAATCACTGGGTCAGAATACACTCAAATACAATTGTTTAGGAAGTAATTTCAAATGCAAACTAAGTTTTCAGAGTGACGTAAATTACACATTCAGTATGGAATAGATTAGTGTCAATAAGTTAAACTGAACCAATGCAACAGTAATCGGTTGAAGGTGTTTTAAATATGCTGCTACTTTAAATTAGACTGTTTATTGCAGACAATATGGCAAAATTGTTAAGATTTGAAATTAACGTCGCGGTCATGTACTGTGCTACTGTTTGAACGACTGTCTAAATGTGAGAACCAGGTATATTTTCATATTGCTACGTTATATGACTTCCCAGTGACATTTATCAAAATATTTTGGTGTATGAAGACTTGCCGTCACGGGATCCGTAATGAGGCGTATATGTTGTCCTCGGGTTAATTTCTTGCATATACAAATAAAGGAGAAAAACTATAAGTATAAGGTAGACATCTTTAAAAGGTATTGTGCGTAAAAGTATCTAGTTTCCTTTTAGTATTTAAAATATGCTGCATTGTCCATCAAAGGATCTTTAGGAATCGCGGTAGAATCTAATGTTTAACCAGGTTTTGTTATGTAAATTAAACTCAGTCTGTAATATCAGGGTAGGTCACTTTGAATTATTTGGGTCACGACACTATTTGTCCCTCAGTGTTGAATTTATGGTTATAGTATCGTTGAAGTTTCTAATTTATGAAAATAAAAAGTTTTCATGTAAAAAAATCACTACTTATTTTTCCTATACTTTGCTCAGCTAATTGTTCCATTTAACTGAGAAATTAGTGACGCATGGTACCGCAAATGGGGCCAGCATCTCGTCTCTAGCGTTGTGAAGTGAGATTTCCATCGATAAAATGTAATCATGTCCTTGCAAATGAATTTATGCGCCACCACAGTTGCATCATGAAAACGTTCATGTTGCTGTCTGCATACTCGCTGACTCATCACGAAAGGTCAGATTAAATCTGTTTGATCAGTAAACAGCAATGACGTTGATTCCAACGCTGACGTCAGCACCATTGCGACTTCTTTGACGGAGGACCTGCTGAACGCAATCTGCTTCTTTATGCTGGTCTGGCTAATGCGGACATTGGCGTTAAAGTATCCATTACTTATCTGACGTGACGTCAGAAATCGGTCAAGTTCGAGAAGGTTCACTCGGTTCCTATCCTGCCTGTATTGAGCATAGGACGACCTGGTATTCGTGCATAGGCCACCGTTCCAGTAGCCCAACCATATCCAATCACACCGAGTGCCGTACAATAACAGTTTACAATGATGACATTTATGAAACTTGTCAAACTTCTCAAAAATTGTTTAATTAAAAAAGCAACAAACATTCCGTTAATGATGTGTTTAACAAATGGGGCTTTGCATACAAGTTCTAGATTTGAATAGACCTTCAACTGTATCGTCCATAACTATATGGCTGACCCTTTAGTTGAGTAATAACTCACAAAATAGTTAAACACCCAATTCTTTCATTGTTACTATAGTTAATCTGTCATGACATGAATCTCAATCTGATAATATATAGAAGTTAAGGATCACCTGATTCTTTCATATTACAAAAGTTAATATCTCATGCCATGGCCGATTAACATTACCAATATGAAAGAATCGGGTGATCCTTAACTTCTTTTGAGTAGTATATATATTGATTGACTATATATAAAATCAATCTTGATAGCCATTTAATAGAAACCAACGTTGGTCCATAAGTCCTTCAACATGGTAGAAATATGGCGATCCTGGTCCTGGAAGAATAATATACTAACCCGGGGAATTCATTCCACAACACCCCCCCAAATAATCACGAATATTGGGAGGGTGGGAGGATACAATTCAGTTTACCGCAACTGCAAATATCAAGACTATGCTTAAACATTTAAGTCGACTAGTAGTGCCCTCTGAAAGGCTATGTCAGCTGCCATCATGGTGACCGCATAGTAAACGCCTTACCCCCAATCTCTTTAACCACTAGGGCTACCCAATTCTGAGGCAAACCAGACGTGAACACCAACGACCCACACCGCAGAACCACGATGGCAACCCGATTGTACTTGGAGTCGGCTCCACTATTACCAGACACCACATTTGTACAAAGCGAAATACAAAACCCCTTGCTATAACTTCATTCACTAACTCATTTACTCAGTTATTAACGCAGGAGTATCGGAATAAAAGATGCCATTCTTATATTATGACCAACTATTTGATGGAAGGACCATTTGAAATTCAGGGGATGAGAGGAGATACTGGAATTGTTCCATGGAAATGCTGTCTTCAAGCCGCTACCGAAAATATATATTCTGCAAGGTTTACAATGGATGGTCCTTAAAAAAAAAAAAAAATTAATTTTAAATTAAAAAAATTTGAAAATTAGAAACCAAACAACGATTTGTTTGTTTTGTTTATTAAGACAGCCACCAAATAAAAGCATAAAAACGGGTGGCGTCGATCATCGCCTGTTCTGGGACTCCCCGAAGCTGCTGCCAGTCAGCGTGTAGGCCGCCGACGTTGCTTGGGTCCTCCACGTCCACAGCATGTTCTTCAGAGGCGACTCTGAAAAATATGGTTCTTGTCAACAGCGAGACATTTTAAGGGAATAAAACACATGTATATATTTCAATTACAGTCTTTGGGCGTCAGCTTGATGTGATAAGAAAGTCCAAGTGACACGTAGACGTTCACAGCTCTGGTATAGTGTCGCCAAACCAATGATCTGGGATTCGATCCATTGATTCTTTCATCTAAGTACTTGGTTAAATGATAAAGCTAATATATTTCAGACGTAGTGTTTTTAGCCGTTTACGGTGCGAGTGAGTTTGGTTAAATGCCGCTTTGAACAAAATTTTAATCATAGCATAGCGTCTAATTTTGGCGTGAGAAAAGCGAGTGATGCAGGTCTAAGGTTAGATGAGTGAGTATGGTTTTACGCCGCTTTCAGCAATATTCCAGCAACATTACGGCCGGGGACACCAGAAATGGGCTTCACACATTGTACCCATGTCGGGAATCGAGCCCGGGTCTTCGGCGTGACGAGCGAACGCTTTAACCACTAGGCTACCTGACCGCCCTAAGGTTAGATGAAATGGAGTGCAAGATTCGTGCACTTGTATAGTGGCGTGCGTGCGTGCGTGCGTGCGTGCGTGCGTGCGTGCGTGCGTGCGTGTTTATCCCCTGTTCAGAGTTTACCGTTGGTTGGTTTGTTGTTTAACGTCGCACTCAGCAATATTCCAGCTGTATATGTCAACCAGACAATCCAGTGATTGATATCATGAGGATCGATCCACGCAATTGGGATCGACGACATGCATCAACCACGTAAGGGAGCCTGACCACCCGATCCCGTTAGTCGCCTTTTACGACAAGCATGGGTTGCTGAAGACCTTTTCTACCCCGGATCTTCACGGGTCTACGGTTTAGGGTTTACCGACTGTGCCGACCAGTCCTTGTTTTATTCCCTTAATGCTGAGGGATCGCAGCCGGGGATCGAACCCCCAAACTTCCGCTCAGGGGTAGATCTATCCACAAGACCACGTAGGCACCTGTAGGTCCTAGACTTCCGAATTGTTGAAACCGACGAGAATGCAGACAAAACCCAGAAACAACTAGGGCGAACCCTGTTTCGAACCGACGATCATAGGTTTCTGTGACTATTCCGCACAGCAAATAGCGTCGCTTCAGACGACTTGGTCAGCCTTTGAAGCTTGCCGTAAAGTGAGAGTGTTGACCGACATATCTATTCCAGCATATTACCTTTCGGTCCTGTCAAGACTGCAACTGCTCTTCGTCTACGACCTGCACCTGACTTGACACACGACGCCTGGAAATTGAACATATTAAAGTACTCACGGAAATGAAAAAAACCCCTGTTTTTCTCAATTTAAAAATCGACACAAAGTGTTACGTAGCTGTAAATACGAAATAACAAAACAACTCGAGTAGTACTAGTCTAGATTTGCTAGTTTGATCTCAGTGAACAATACAAAATGTACTTTACCGGAGGTAATTTGTCGGCACTTTCAACATTCAAAAATAACAAATTGACATAGCAGAAACAGACTATAGGCATTATGCACCTGTTCTCACCTGTCATCAAGGTGTCATAGGTCACCTTGATCTACTTACACCTGGTTATGCCCTGTTTCAAAATAGTCTGTTTTATTCACATTTTTACACACTTTTACGTGTAAAATGGCATAAAAACCTTTGATACGCTGTATTTGTGCCACGGCCCAATTAGTACTAATTTAGTTGTTTGAATATTTTGTATATTAACTGCATTTATTTAAGATCTGAGGTCGAAAAATCAGTTTTTTTTTCATTTCCGTGAGTACTTTAGTCACGACTTGCCATAAGACAAATCATGTTTCCCAAAGCAGTCCTATCGTGGTTTTGTGAGAAACCTGTGATACGCGATTCGGGCTTGTGATAAGTGAATGGAAAATGCATGCATCATTCGTGGCCACTCGTGTCATTCCGGGGCTGGTTGATTGGTTAGCCGCACTCAGCAATATTGCAGCTATATGAAGGCGGTCTGTAAATGATCGAGACCAGACAATCCAGTGATTGACATTATGAGCATCGATCCACGAAATTTGGATACGATAACATGCATCAACCAAGACAGCGAGCTTGACACCCGATCCCATTAGTCGCCTCTTACGACAATCAAAGTCGCCTTTTACGGCAAGCATGGAGTTGCTGAAGACCTATTCTACCCCGGATCTTCACGGGTCGTATGGAATTTGAACTTCAGCTTATGTCGGGTGCGCGTTGGCAGTGTAAACCGTATGGTAGAGTAGTAAACCATGAAATACGTCCACAAGTTATGACACTACATTTACCAGCACAAAATAACGCGTACTTTGAAATTACTAAGTCGGAAAGATTAATATTTCATGCAAAAAACAAATTGGACCTGTAAAATGTGGCTTTAATTCATCGTCTTGAAAACATGAAACAAATTTGTAATGGCCAGGTATGTTCTGAGAAAAGGTTACAATCACATACTTTTTCGGATTTATTCTGACCAAAACAATTTAGGAATGGCCATTTTGTGGATATTTTTATGAAATCGTGTGCTCAGTCTTCACCATAAACAATATGCATCATCCCTGGGTTTTTTGTTCTGTATAATCAACCATTAGGATGACAGATAGGAAGGTTTGTTTTGTCGCAATCTGCAAACTTCCAGCCACAGACCATCTTCCCGAGGCAAGGGAGTTAACTGACTATAAAAGTCCAGTTTCCACCCTTGCCGAACTAGGCTGGATTTACTGGGCTCGATCGTAGCGCCACCAGTGGCTATTACCAGTTAGGACCCCTTCTAAGCCTCGCCTATGAACCAATCAAAATCCACCTCTCGTATCACTTGGGTTTGCTTCACACAAAATGGTGTCGCCCGGTCAGGACGATGTGATCGATAATCAAGATCTATATTGTGATAAAACGGGTCTTACATCGCGAAATGCATCGAATCACGTGAGCACCTTAAAAATATCTGCTGACAACGAGTTGGCGGTGCCCATGTTTTGCAAATCCTGCAATCGACCGAAATCTGCATGACAGTTTACGAACCGGTTTTCGATTTCGGTGCGCGATTTTGATTGGACTAAGCATAGATTCGTTAGTCCAGCCAAAATGTAACTCCATAATACCAGCCAAGTTCGGCAAGGGTTGAAACTAAGTTAGCAAGCCTCTCGTTAGTCGCCTCTTACGACAAGCATGGGTTGAAGACCAATTCTAACCCGGATCTTCACGAGCGACATACGAGGTGAAGCTAACTGTATACAAAATGTAAATATAGTTTAGTTTTAATACTTGAAAAATACAACATCAATATCCGAATTTAAAAACAACTTTGCATAGGTAAATGTGAATAACATACGTAAAATAATTTGACCAAGATGGTTATGTAATGTCTACAGAATCCTATCTCCCTGCCTGCCGTCTTGGAGCTACAGGTAACTTAACTGAATAACAAATATTTTGGTGAACGAAAACCAGGTCAGTCTCATTAAAATGAGATCTAAGTTCTCGCTGCCGCTAAACAAAGATCTGAGGACGTCCCATTAAGGGACTTTGACCGACCACTGAAATGACTTACAAGAAGTCGACATCAGCCAATTAGAAAGCTTTCTCGAGCTTTACAGCACTCGTTTCAACCCGGCGACTTCCATTTCAGACTACGCTTGAAAATTATGTTGACAGTTCTCGATCAAAATTTTGAACCCTGAACAAACGAACATTCCGGAATGTCTAACATTTGGTTGAGATTGTATGGCAGTGCTTCCCACGTGCTGTGCAACGCCTCCGTGTTCAAATGTGTATACCACGGAAGCGAGAGATAGACGATAATTTTGACGGAATCAGTCGTACGGGCCGTAGCTGTTGTTAGGAATACCCCGTGTTTACGTTTTCGAGGTTGCATGATTAGAAAAAACACATTCAAACTGGACTGTCGCTTTCATGATCTGGTAAGCGACGCTTTGATTGGTCGGATGAAAGGTCGTTCTGACGTGACCCGTGATGGGATGTCCTCATCTTTGTGTAGCGATAGCGAGAACTAGGATCCGATTTTAATGAGATTGAAAGCCGGTTGATGTAATATTGCCATACCTTTTCGAAATCATATTTTGTTTTAATAGAAAGTCAAGCCAAAAATCCATGGTACAGTGAACTGTAAATATTGTTGTGGACGTAAACACGTTGTTTTAGTGGCCCATCCATGTATGTTTACTAAATGTGCTAGATTTATTTGGTGGAGTTAGGTATTTATGGTTCTGAAAATATACGTAACGATACGTTTAATAGATATTACACACTGGAGTTTTGGGTGGTTCGATCTTGGAACAGCCGAACAGTTTGTCCGGTCAGTCCTGTTCAAACTCCCTGTAGCTGGTGTAGCTTGTGGGCATGGCGGGCTAAATATCACGTACTAACGCGAGGCCATCATTACCACTTTTAGTTACCATGACAGTTCAGTATGATGAAAGAACGGTCACTTCGGCATTTTGTACTTAAGAAATAAACGAGTGGGAGTTGTTTTTCGCTCAGTAAAACACTGCAGGGAGAATAAACCACTTGGAACTGCGCCCCTCATGTTTTATTCTCCCTGCAGTGTTTGATTGGACGATACACGACCACGAGTCGTTTATTACTTATAAGATACACATGATGTACAGCCTCTCAGGATGATGATAAAATGTACAAGCTTTAAAAATATTTACCCAAATCTTAATAACTCCCTCAATAGAATCCGACCTCGGGAACGCCGGACAAGTCCAATTTATGCAGAGGTGGGTATTTCGAGCACATTCTCACAATCTTCCCCTCAATCACTTGTACCTTTTCTCCCAATACCGATTGTCATCTCTTTTGGATGCGACCGTTCGGCCATCGCGAATATCTACGTTGCCTAGCGACATCTACGGGAACAACCCACTAGACACCTAATAACCTCCAATTTACGACGTCATCAAGTTGCGAGCGCTTTTTCGAATCTCCATGAATGACGTCATGGTAGAACAATGTTTTATCGTGAAATAAACCACGTTTTGTTCATTACTCTTTGCGATTTATCGCGTAGCTATCTAATATATACAAATAAAATATTAAGAAAGCTACAATGTATCATTTGGTTTTCGGGAGAAGAGTGAAAGTGTCCATTTTCTTGCCGTCAAACTGTTCTTATACAGTCCATTAATATTTCTTTTAAAAAAACTCAACGTTTTTGTTGGAACAAAAGCTATACATGCTCATCTCAAACTCAAAAAATGACCTGAACGCTTTGAACACGTGTTTATTTAAGTTTGTCACAACCAGTGAAGGAGAGCTCGGACAAATGGTACCTGTCCAGCCTTAAAAATCCCCATTCGTGTTACAAAACAAGGGAAGAACTATCAGTATTATACTATGCATCCGATTCTCAATTAAATTTGTCAATTACATTATATACTATTACGAAAAGGCGGGGACCATCCGATTCTTTCACATTACCATTGTTAATCTGTCATTGCATGAGCAGTATACGAGGTGAGGTGAAATCGGGTTTAACGTCGCGTCCAAGATAATTGCACTTGTATAGCGACGTGCGTGCGTGCGTGCGCGGCTGCTTGTACTAGTGCGGACTAAAATTTAATGCCGATTTTTATAGTGCTAGCCCTGTGAGATGCCATGCCGCAGTTTAACATGAAAATCCCATATACTGACTCCGAGCCGACCAGTCCTTGTTTTAGCCCCTAATGCCGAGCGCCAGAGAGGGTAACAACAAGTACCATCTTTTAACGTCTTTTAACGTCTTTTGGTATGACGCAGCCGGGGACGCTCTACCACTAGACCACGGAGGCTGTCATTGTAGTATACGAGAATAATTATTTCTCGACTCACTCCTTCCAATAGCGTCATTTCAGAAATCACGTCACGATCTCCATTTAAGTAATTTCCCACAGAAGATAACTCGCACACTGGTGAGGATTGATTGGTTGTGTTTAGCGCCTTGTCATTCAAATCCGACTCAAACGAAGCTATGGTAGTGAATAGTGAGCGAATTAAAATTGAACGTCACACATCGGCAAGGTAGCGAAGAGATCTGGGGATCTGAGATTTATAATAGGATGAGATACAGTACACTCGGTAAATGTACGTCACACTGATAGGCGATAACCAGAAAGACTTACCCCGTCACATGCTTTAGAACAAACTGAGAATTTGCACTCAAACTGAAGTCCTGCGTCACCGTTGATAGTAAATACTCTGAAAAAGTAACTGAGGGCCACCGTTCCCTTGGTGACGAACCCCTTGTCCTTCGCTAGGATCATACCGTCGCCGCAGCTGAAATATAAGGATTTAAATTACTTTAGAATGGCCAGCGATGCAAGGGTTTAGCATTTGACAAAAAGAGGAGTGAGTAAGTTAGGTTTAACGCCGCTTTTTAAGGTATTCCAGGTATATCACGGCGTGTCAGCTTAATGTGGGAGGAAATCCCGAAGTGATGCAGGTCTCAGACGTTTACCACGAGCACGGTATGGTGCTGACAAACCTAGAAACATAATCGGGGCGAACCGGGATTCGAACCCTCAATCATAGGTTTCTGGCGTGCCCAAAGGACGCAACTCTGCACAACGAATCGCTGCGCCTTAGACTGGGCAAACCCCCCCCACACACCCACACACCCACACCCACACCCACACCCACACCCCCACCCCAACCCCCACACAAGTTTCAGAGAATCACTGAATCATTAAGTCTTGTTCTTTTAACACAAACTATACTAAGTTCTGTTTTGTCTCCAGTTTTTAGTTTAATTTTAGATATAGTTTTTAGCTTAATTTTCCATGCCAAAGTCCAACTCACCAATATTCCATCTAAGCGACATTATAATGAAGTTCATAAATTAAGCTTGACATATGGTTGAAGAAATTGAAATAATGTTTTAAGAGGACAAAGTCACCGGTATCCCCCGCAATGTAAATACTTGTACAAATATCGGAATAAAAAATATTAACTTCAAATACTTGTTTCAAAATCCCAAACTATGAGAAGGCACCAGTTCACAACAAAACCTATCTATGTACCAACTTTGGTGAAGAAATACTGTACAGTTTTCAAGATCTGCTCCAGAAACGACATCTTGGACGGACGGTGTCGATTTTAATAGCCCCCGCAAAACGCGTTGCGGAGGATAATAAATGAGTAGGAAGAGCACTTGAAGAAAAGGTTAAAGAAACTTTCTATGTCTTGAGGTGACCCAAAAGCTTTGACTTACCCATCCCTTAGCATCGACAACTTGTTTCCTTTGGAATCAACGGCGTTGCAAGATACTGCCTGGATCCCCTTGTCGCCGGGGGCTGAAAGAGTGAGTATGGTTTAATATCGGCGTTTACCACTTCGGTGAAACCCACGAGCACGGGTCTGGTGCTGACAAACCTAAAAACATAATCGGGGCGAACCGGGATTCGAACCCACAATCATAGGTTTCTGGCGTGCAACTCTGCACAGCGAATCGCGGCGCCTTAGACGACTGGGCCACCCGTGCCCCCCCAATTCGATTTAAGTTATTCAAAGCGACTTTATCAACACATTTTATGAATCAATCAAGCAGTTGTGGGTGCATTAATTACGCGGACAGTGTATATTCGACACGAATGTATTCTTATAACAACTGGATTGAAGATATCCTATAATCACTCCACTGATTTCGGCTACAAAGGAAGCCCTCAATCATCAATGCAAGTGTTATCTGGGATAGGTTGGATTAAAGTTAGAGGCTTCACCATCTTTACAAATTACTAGGCTTTAGTTTGGTTGGTTGGTTGTTTTACGCCGCACTCAACAATATTCCAGCTATATGACGGCGGTCTGTAAATAATCGAGTCTGGACCAGACAATACAGTGATTATTATCATGAGCATCGATCCACGCAATTGGGATCGATGACATTCATCAACCAAGTCAGCGAGCCTGACCACCCGGTACCGTTAGTGGCCTTCTTCGGCAAGCATGGGTTGCTGAAGACCTATTCTTCCCTGGATCTTCACGGGTCTTGGCTGTACTTACTCAAGGTGAAGGCCTTCAGTCGCACCATCTTGCCGGCTGCGATGGACCCGCCCGTGAGAGGTCTGCCCAGCACATCTACCATCATGACTTTGATATGCGATTTGCTCACCGGCGGCTTATTGCCTTGAAGCACCAGCGGAGCACTGACTCTGAAATGAGTTCAAGAGTTGATGAATTTCATTACTGCTGCATCAATCCCAGTGGCCCAGCACTATTGCTCAAGTCCTTATTAACCCACGTCGTTTCTGGACAAACATTTTTGAATCACGTGATCCAGATCTATTTCCCAACTATTGTCCCATTTGGTTGTTTCACGCCGACATATTCATCGATCTACGCAACTAAGACACGATGACATGCATCAACCAAGTCAAAGAGCCTGACCACCCGATCCCGTTTGTCGCCTATTTCGACACATTCGGGACCAACTCGTGTTATTCCGGGACAAGCCGAATAGGATATTTCCTCATATATTATATATATTTCAGATGCAATTTAAAGCACATCGGGACGTACGGAATTATACAGTATGATTGAACACATTTAACTGTGTCTTGGATATATTTTAGATGCAAGACGTATGTAAAATAAAAACATATTTTTGAGGGATTCTTTTACGAAGAACTTGAAATCATACGCTCATTCTGATTGGTTTGTCGTATTTTCGCACATAACATTTATCGATAGGGGGACGAGTCTTCTAGCAGGTTACGGAAAGGGGCGAGCGGTGACGAATGCTTTCGACAGTAACAGTCGCCTTTTACAACAAGCATGGGTTGCTAAAGACCTATTCTAACCTAGACAACGAAAAGATCGCATGTTTTACTTTAAATACAGCCACTGAACCGACTGGGAGCAAACCACCCCAGAGAGGAAGGTGTTTACATCACATACCAATGAGCAGCCATCCCTACCTTTACCTGCAGGGCCAAACACTTTACCTGCAGAACCAAACACTTTACCTGAAGGGCCAAACACTTTACCTGCAGGGCCAAACACTTTACCATCAGAAACATGCTGCATGAACCATATGACGTCAAGCTGACGTCACCAATGTGATAAATTCAACTTTGATCCCCTAGTTTGTCCAATGCGATACGACCTAGATTTTTGCTTTCAGCTACACTTTTTAAAAATCGACCCAAAATCAATTACACGATTCCGACGATGAGCATATGTATATGAATAGGTATCAAATAGTTATATCGGATGTTTCCGAAAAGGTGAACGTACCCTGCCCCACCGGCGGCGGCCTTGACTAACATTTAGTGCAAGAAAATTATCATATTTTAAATCTACAAAAAGAGTGAGTGAGTGAGTATGTTTTACGCCGCTTTTAGCAATATTCCAGCGACATCACGGCGGGGTACACTAGAAATGGGCTTCACACATTGTACTCATGTCGGGAATCGAACCCGGGTCTTCGGCGTGATGAGCGAACGCCTTAACCACTAGGCTATCCGACCGCCTCTATACAAAAAGAAAAATATAATCCACCTGGAGCCCCAAGCAGAGCTTGATTTCTGGAGCTAAGAGACTAGCAACACCCGTCACTAACGTTATTAGCATTACACTTTTAAGCCAATACTTCCGGTTTGGGAAAACATGCCCAGTGCAGTACAAATTTGAAACGGGTCCACGCTTCTAGCTATTTTAAGATTAAAAATAATCACTTCCGGTTAAATTAATATCTGGTTTAGGAAAGCATGTTCGTGCCTTGTTCTTTCTACTACAGTCACTTCCATTTATTTGTATAAACTTCTAATGACAGTACTCGAAAATAGGCGAGTTATATGAGTAAAACCCCCCGAGATGAGAAACAGCTTGAAATGGCCTCGTCTAGACTTACGGTGGGGAGACTTTAAGAGGCTTACTGCCTTTCTTCCCTTCTGGCTGGAAGGAGCACGATAGCTTAAACTCATCTTCCGGGGAGTGAAGACGCTGGCCTGCTTCCCCAAATGAAACATGGATCTCGATCGTGAACACTTTTGCGTTTGGCTTTTTCTGGGGAAATATGCGTTTAAGCATAAATTAACATGAATTTAATATTTTCCAAGCGATTCAAGATTATACTGATTCGTAAGAGTTGTAATTACTTCACGGATCCCGTGAACTAGAGTTACACATAGAATCAAACTAGTGATTGAGTGAGTGAGTTGTGTTTAACGCCGCTTTTAACAGTATTCCAGTTATATCACGGCGTGTCAGCTTAATGTGGGAGGAAAGCCCGAAGTGATGCAGGTCTAAAAGGTTTACCACTTCGGTGAAACCCACGAGCACGGGTATGCTGACAAACCTAGAAACATAATCGGGGCGAATCGGGATTCGAACCCTCAATCATAGGTTTCTGGCGTGTCCAAGGGACGCAACTCTGCACAGCGAATTGCGGCGCCTTAGACGACTGGGCCACCCGTGACCCCAATCAAACTAGTGTATGTTAAGGGCCTTAAAGTAGAGACAAGGCAAATTCATTTTTGAATAAATTGCAAAACTTTATCTGGCGTAGTGGCGACTTGGCAAGCGAATTAGCATGTTACGAACTTGTCTTGTTGAAATATTCCATATAGTTGTCTCTTACAAGCTTAGTTTTCCCAAGACATCTATCTCGCATAAGCATATCCGACTACAGAAAATACATCTGTTTTGTACAATTTGTTCAGGGCGAAATTACCGAATCGGGACAAATGGTAAAGAAATTACCAAGCGGAAGTTCGCACCCACAACGAATCGTTGGCAAAATTAAGAATCGTTTCTTCTCTTTCTCAAGAACACACATGTAATGGGATGGTCCCAGATCGCCCAGTTCAACTGACGTGACCTTGGGGTGTCAGAGCTTGACACTGGTCTTTTAACCTATCTATACATATTGAAACAAACCTCAAACACACAAGGGGAAGATCCCTTGCCCGGGTATGATATTGGGAGTCCAAAGAACACAAAATCCTCCGTGCTAAACAGAACTTCCTTTCCTCCCGCACAAATGGCCTTCGCTTCCATGCCCATGTCAGTCATTATCGTGACGAAACCATCGGCAACGCCGTCAACACCGCATTCAGGGGAAACTGAATTCATAAAACATTGTTTTGTTTGTTGGCTAACGTCACACACACAATATTCCAACTATATAACGGCGGTCTGTAAATAATGGAGTCTGGAAAAGAATCCAGTGATTGACATGATAACCCATCTACGTAATTGGGATACGATGACTTGCATCAACCAAGTCAGTGAGCCTGACCACCCGATCGTGTTAGTCGGCTCTTACGACAAGCATGGGTTGGTGAAGACCTATTCTAACCAGGATTGACTGGCTCCATGTTAAACTACAGCATGGTATCTCAGTGGGCTAGCACTATACGCGTGGCGTCGGTACGGACTTGTACAAGCAGCCGTCTACCGGTGTAAATGTTCGTCACTATACCAGAGAAATAATTACCACACCTTCTAATCATGACCATGGAAACCTTCAACACCATGGCTTACCCTTGAACCCGACTCGAATAGCATGACACTAGAAATAGCTGTACAATTAAATCACATAAGAGATATTCTGTTATGTTTATGATCGAGATGCAGACGTCACGCCAGGTGCTTATAATAGAATGGCGATTGTTCAATGGATAATCGAGATGTTTGTTGTTTAAGGCCTCACTCAGCAATATTCCAGCTATATGACGGCGGTCTGAATAATCGAGTCTGGACCAGACAATCCAGTGGTTGATGTCAGGCAGATCGATCCACGTTGCTATTCGAACCCAGGTCTTCGGCATGGCGTTTTAAAGCACTGTATATATGAAAGGAGTGATAGGAAGTATGGTTTTACGCCGCTTTAAGCAATATTCAAGCAATATCACGGCGGGGACACCACAAATGGGCTACACATGTGGTGAATCGAACCCGGGCTTTCGGACGCATCAACCTCTAGCCTACCCCACCGCTCTGTGAAAGGGTTTGTTTAACGTTGGATTCAGCAATATTCCAGCTACATGACGGCGGTCTGTAAATTATTTTAAAAAATCGAGTCTAGACCAGACAATCCAGTGATTGACATGAGCATCAATCTACGCAACTGGGCTACGAGGACAAGCATCAACCAAGTCAGCGAGCCTGACCACCCGATCCCGTTAGTCGCCTCTATCGACAAGCATAGTCGCCTTTCACTGCAAGTATTCTAACCCGGACCCTGTGAAAGGAGAGTTCTTACTGTCGAACACATAGCCAGGCGGAACAGGAGCCCAGGCAGGTACCTGTGAAAAAAGTAATATTGTCTTGCACTTAAACGTAATGTACCAGCATGTTGCGGCTACGTAATCTTTACATGAGTGGTATGAGAAACGATGTCCGATATTTCAGTGTGATGAGGTGAGGTGAGGTGAAATGGGGTTTAACGTCGCGTCCAAGATTATTGCACTTATATAGCGACGTGCATGTACGTGTGTGTGTTTGTGTGGCTGCTTGTACTAGTCCGGACTGATGCCGATTTATAGTGCTAGCTCACTGAGATACCATGCCGCAGTTGAACATGAATACCCCACTCAGACACAGTATACTGACTCCTAGCCGATCAGTCCTTGTTTTAGCCCCTTAATGCCGAGCGCCAGACAGGGTAACAACAAGTACCATCTTTAAGCGTCTTTTGGTATGGCGCGGCTGGGGATCGAACCCCGGACCTTCTGCTCTCCGGGCGGACGCTCTACCACAAGACCACGGAGGCGGTCACTCTCCGAGACCCAGTGTATTTAAGGAAATCTTACTGCAAGCATGGGTTGCTGAAGGTGTTTTTTAACTTCTTTTCAGTGTTTGTTGTTTAATGCTGCACTCAGCAATATTCCAGCTATATGACGGCGGTCTGTAGATTATCGAGTCTGGACCAGACAATCCAGTGATCGATATCATGAGCATCCACGCAATTGGGATCGATGACATGCATCAACCAAGTCAGCAAGCCTTACCACCCGATCCCGTTAGTCGCCTTTTACGGCAAGCATGGGTTGCTGAAGACCTATTCTACCCCGGATCTTCACGGGTTACGTATATGCTTGTATACATGCATACATATATACATAAAATCACATAACCTTGAAACAAATACTGACCATCAAGCTGAAAACGGCCAAGACAATGTATGCAGTCATCGTTTACCTGAAACAAACAACATTGACGATAATCACTTACCAGTTTGATATTTCCAGGATGGGTATGTACCATCATGCATTGTATTACTCAACCAGGGATACAGAATGTATGGACTTTACGTATATGTATCAGTTTGGTGCATGGGTCATGGACGGAAAATATAAAAACCGAGATGCGAGTCGCCTAGTTTTCTTTCCATGGCATGGCTCTGTTTTACTGGTGGAGAGGCAGGTTTACAAAACAGATCTTGTGCCCAAGTCCAGCCGGTAGTCATGTTCCCATCTAGCAATATCCAGCAAAATGTCGGCGGTCTGTAGATAATCCAGTGATTGATATTGTGAGCATCCATCCACGCAATTGGGTTGGTTGGTTGGTTTGTTGTTTAACGCCGCACTCAGCAATATTCCAGCTATATGACGGCGGACTGTAAATAATCGAGTCTGGACCAGTCAATCCAGTGATTAATATCATGAGCATCGGCCCAAGCAATTGTGATCGATGACATTACATCAACCAAGTCAGCGAGCCTGACCACCCGATCCCGTTAGTCGCCTTCTACGACAAGCATAGTCGCCTCTTACGGTAAGCCGGGGTTGCTGAAGACCTATTCTAACCCGGATCTTCACGGGTATGTTCCCATGGGGATCCATATGATCCTTACAAAATATCGATAACGTCTTCATACATACTATTTATCTTTAAAATACTAAATATTTCGATTGACAGCGATTCCTCGAACACACGTTGAGGACTGAGGATTCGACCTGTTTTCCGGTTTAACTTTGGCAGAGTACATGTCAAATCGAAATATGCATGTAGAATGATTTCTGGCTTCACGTTTGTGTGACATTGCTCAATGCTCACTCTGTCCGAGACATTGAGTCGGTGTTGCCCCTACCCGCAATAAGAGCGAGGGATTCGTAGCTGTTGCAGTTGCCGACATTTATGCAGACGATACGTTCAGAACAAAGAGGTTCTTGTAACCTGCTTTCGACTGTATGTTACCAGACATAGGTGAATTAGAAAAGCGTAATTATACAGGAGCAATGATATAATCCAATAAAAAATGGTTATTCGAGAAATGTACTTGAATACAAAAGGCCTTCCCACCGTTATGCTCTCACCAAGACGGTTTGTCTGTCAATCGTCTCCACGGAACTGCATCCAGGGGAAATGAGGACACAAGCTTGGCGAAAAGCACGTGGAAATACGGACATGGTGAGTTTGGGTGATTCATTAATATAAAAATGTTCATGGGTTTTGGTTCTCTGGAGACACAGAACGGAGAGTTCAAGCATATTCTTACCGACATTAAAGCATGTTGCACGTTCTCCACTTTGTGATATATATTGCAGATTCATGTCAAGACATTTAGCTGACTGGTGTCAAGGGCGAGGTGCAAGTGGACCTGAGCACCCGAACAATGCACGGTTATAAATATTTCCGAGTCATGTTGGTAAGTTACACTCGTTATTTGGAAAAGATGTCTAGCACCGCTTGCTATGTATTAACGTTTTCTGACGTTAACATATTAGCTTTCGGTTACTTAGGGATATAGTCATATTGAAATACAGAAACCGACATTAACTAAGCAATGACATGCTTTGGAACTGTTCTATTTCAGAATCGCAAGCTCCGAAGTAAATACAGTTTTTCCCTAACAGTGTGTATCAGTGACAGTGTGTATCAGTGACAGTGTGTGTCAGTGACAGTGTGTATCAGTGTCAGTGTGTATCAATAACAGTGTGTATCAGTGACAGTGTGTGTCAGTGACAGTGTGTATAAGTGACAGTGTGTGTCAGTGACAGTGTGTATCAGTGACAGTGTGTATAAGTGACAGTGTGTGTCAGTGACAGTGTGTATCAGTGACAGTGTGTGTCAGTGACAGTGTGTGTCAGTGACAGTGTATATCAGTGACAGTGTGTGTCAGTGACAGTGTGTATCAGTGACAGTGTGTATCAGTGACAGTGTGTGTCAGTGACAGTGTGTATAAGTGACAGTGTGTATCAGTGACAGTGTGTATCAGTGTCAGTGTGTGTCAGTGACAGTGTATATCAGTGACAGTGTGTGTCAGTGACAGTGTGTATCAGTGACAGTGTGTATCAGTGCCAGTGTGTGTCAGTGACAGTGTGTGTCAGTGACAGTGTGTATCAGTGACAGTGTGTGTCAGTGACAGTGCGTATCAGTGACAGTGTGTGTCAGTGATAGTGTGTATCAGTGACAGTGTGTATCAGTGTCAGTGTGTATCAGTGACAGTATGTATCAGTGACAGTGTGTATCAGTGACAGTGTGTATCAGTGGCAGTGTGTGTCAGTGACAGTGTGTGTCAGTGCCAGTGTGTGTCAGTGACAGTGTGTATAAGTGACAGTGTGTATCAGTGTCAGTGTGTATAAGTGACAGTGTGAATCAGTGTCAGTGTGTATTAGTGACAGTGTGTGTCAGTGACAGTGTGTATCAGTGACAGTGTGTGTCAGTAACAGTGTGTATCAGTGACAGTGTGTATCAGTGACAGTGTGTATCAGTGACAGTGTGTGTCAGTGACAGTGTGTATCAGTGATAGTGTGTGTCAGTGACAGTGTGTATCAGTGTCAGTGTGTATCAGTGACAGTGTGTATCAGTGACAGTGTGTATAAGTGACAGTGTGTATCAGTGTCAGTGTGTATCAGTGACAGTGTGTATCAGTACCAGTGTGTGTCAGTGCCAGTGTGTGTCAGTGACAGTGTGTGTCAGTGACAGTGTGTATCAGTGACAGTGTGTGTCAGTGACAGTGTGTGTCAGTGACAGTGTGTGTCAGTGACAGTGTGTGTCAGTGACAGTGTGTATAAGTGACAGTGTGTATCAGTGCCAGTGTGTATAAGTGACATTGTGTATCAGTGACAGTGTGTGTCAGTGACAGTGTGTGTCAGTGACAGTGTGTATCAGTGACAGTGTGTGTCAGTGCCAGTGTGTGTCAGTGACAGTGTGTGTCAGTGACAGTGTGTATCAGTGACAGTGTGTGTCAGTGACAGTGTGTGTCAGTGACAGTGTGTGTCAGTGACAGTGTGTGTCAGTGACAGTGTGTATAAGTGACAGTGTGTATCAGTGCCAGTGTGTATAAGTGACATTGTGTATCAGTGACAGTGTGTATCAGTGACAGTGTGTATCAGTGTCAGTGTGTATCAGTGACAGTGTGTATCAGTGACAGTGTGTGTCAGTGACAGTGTGTGTCAGTGACAGTGTGTATCAGTGACAGTGTGTATCAGTGACAGTGTGTATCAGTGCCAGTGTGTATAAGTGACAGTGTGTATCAGTGTCAGTGTGTATCAGTGACAGTGTGTATCAGTGACAGTGTGTATAAGTGACAGTGTGTATCAGTGACAGTGTGTATCAGTGTCAGTGTGTATCAGTGACAGTGTGTGTCAGTGACAGTGTGTGTCAGTGTCAGTGTGTATCAGGGACAGTGTGTATCAGTGACAATGTGTATCAGTGACAGTGTGTGTCAGTGACAGTGTGTATCAGTGACAGTGTGTATCAGTGACAGTGTGTATCAGTGACAGTGTGTGTCAGTGACAGTGTGTATCAGTGACAGTGTGTGTGAGTGACAGTTTGTATCAGTGACAGTGTGTGTAAATAACAGTGTGTGTCAGTGACAGTGTGTGTCAGTGACAGTGTGTATCAGTGACAGTGTGTGTCAGTGATAGTGTGTATCAGTGACAGTTTGTATCAATAACAGTGTACTTTAGTGACAGTGTGTATCAGCGTAAATATGTCTTCTGATAGCATCCTCATGGTGAGTCCAGACCTCAAATGCCCATGGTTGTTGTATTGTAATGCCCGACGACTGGGATCGTTGCATTTCCTATCAACCAGAACTATGCCGATCTAAATCAGGATTTAGAAGAAGTGCGAAGAGCAATACACAGAGTGTATCTCTAAACACATTGATAATGCAGCAGATATTTATTCATATCTCCATTTCGTTTTGCGAGTAAGCGAGTGCTAACAAGCACACATCTATTTGTGGATTCCAAAAGGTAAACGGCAAATGCCCACATACTATTGGGCTTTTAAATGTCCTCCCGTCGACACGCCGTGATACAACCAAAACACCTTTTTTTCTAAACGGCCTCAAACCCAGACCACTCACTAGCCGATGTTACAAATACTCGAGCTATATCAATAGCTTTCACACATTGATCCCTTGTACAATCGAGCCCAAGCATTTACCATTTGGATACTTCTGGCGAGGTAGCCCAAGTATAGAAAAAAGGAGCTTTGTTACGACGTAAATTGTAATAAAAAGGTAAATTGTAATACTTGCAGCAAATTGTAAAAAAAATTGACGTAAATTGTAATAACAACGTAAATTGTAATACTATTTGACGTAAATTGTAATAAAATTTGACGTAAATTGTAATAATCTCTACTTGCGGTAAAATGTAATAAATTCTTACGCAAATTGTAATAACCTTACTACCGTAGTGTCCAAGACGCCAATTGACTAGAAATGATCTTTGTCAGTTGAGCTTGCGTTTCACATGTACAATTCGAGAAATACTGTGTATGATGACAAACGTACAAAACTGTTAAGTTAGGAATGGTTGGTATAGGCTTTATCGTACAATCGTCATTAAAGGGTGGTGTCAACATCGTGGATTTAAATGACTGAAAGATCCATCCTCGGGTTCAAAATGATGGGCTACACAACCGTTTATTCGACGAATAACTTAATTGTGACATATTGTTCAATACTGTGCTATTCACGATGTTTTTTGCATGACTTGCTTCAACAGTACGTTGACCAGTCCGACACGACCTGGACGAGTGATGTCGAAGGGTACAAACACAGGCTGGTCAACCAGTGTGTCGATTTGCAGTGGAAACGCTATACGAGTTGATAAGGAGTACATGATCCTTTTCTCGAAACAAACGAGGGAATTTAATCATATTTATACAATTCATTTTATTTTGACGAAGAATTCAAATACAACAAATGAGTTGACAGATCCCGTGCATACACAAATAACATCCGGTATCTTCGGATAACTCTTGTACAGTTTCAAAGGGTATACGAATTATCATAAATTTCTTGCAATCAATTGCTGAAATATATCTGCTTGTATCAAAATAGTAAGGAATTGAAAATTTATAATGAAAATATGATTGTCACTAAAGTATATTTTCTCTCTGACCTTGAAACGTACTTGAAGATCATTAAACTCGACAATCGTTATGCTTTCAGGGGATTATTGTCCGTCTCAAATTAGTGGAAAAAAATGTAAAACGTATTATCTACGAAGAATATACTTATGTCTTCGTTGGACATACTTTTATCTACGTAGAAGATACGTTTATCTAATGTATTTGCTACATTCTAATTCGTATATCTACAGGTTTGTGTTTCTATTTTATGTTTTAAAATATCTTACTTTGTTCATTTGTTACATTTTTGTATAACCTTTAATTGCTCATATCAGCATTTTTGTGGGACCTCTCACAAAGTAGTGTCACTCATCTTTCGCTTGGAACTATATGTAGAAGTGCAGTCATAGATCTGATACCAATGACATATAGAGGTCGTATTTACTGGCATACATACATACATACATACATACATACATACATACATACATACATACATACATACATACATACATTCATACATTCATACATACATAATATGCATGCATGCATAAACACACACGCAAACACACACATACATACATACCTATAGGAGATAAATATCATTTGGTTTCTTAGTTAGTCACTATTCTTTTCATTGGAATGTTAAGAAGGTATGCTATAATTTCAATATTTTATTACAGTGCTTGATGTTAGCTGGAATTATTTTAATCCTCTTAAACCCCTAGAGAAGATTATCCTCTGAGGTAATTTTTGTCCGTATATATGTCACAAATTAGTGATAACGTACGAAAAACGTAATTATCTGTTTCGAAAATTATGTACCGCATTATACGTGAGGTACCAAATTTGGTATCAAGGTTGCTTGGCGCAATTGCCGAGTTTAATGATCTTAGAATACTCTTCGTATAAGGTCAAAGAGAATATTTACGTTAGTGACAAAACTCTTTGCATTATAGATTTTCCATCCCTTCAATTTTGATCAAAACAGATATATTTCAGCAATAATTGATTGCAACAAATTTATTATACATTCTGATGCTCTTTGAAACTCAACAAGA